ATGAAGTGGTCTCCAAGGACTGTGGTCTGATAATGCCACCTTTAAAATACTGGGGGTCTTACAGGATCATGTTTATGTGAGCATTCATGAGCCCTATCAAACTTCAATCCTTAACATAGAAGGTTGTATATATTTTATTTTCTATGTCTCTGCTGAGATGACGACTCACAGAATCTCAGCCTTTATATTTCACACACATGCTACCAATAATAGTCTACTGACATAAATGCTTACAGAAGGAATCCAAAAGCCAAGGGAAACCTCCCTGCTAATTGTTGCTTCAGGTTTCCTTTGATTAGTGTTCAGGAAGCCGAAAGAATAAGAACCATTTATTTTAAAGTGCAGAACATGAAAACAATGGCCTGGCAGTGTTGTTTGACTGTCATGTTTGTGATTGGCAGGCGGAGATCACTCACCTTTATCCACCTCATTTCTTGGAAATCCAAGGATGATAGTCTTGATATAGGCAGTTCTCTGACACACTCTTAAAAACAAAACAAAACAAAACAAAAAACCTGGTCCTACACCCCGATGTGTGAGCACACACAAAACACATAGTTGCTTGGGTCAGTCAAGCAAACAGATTTTAAAAGTGGCCTGATGAAAATCTGTACACATTTGAATCTCTGGGACCTTTGAAGCTGTGTCCTGAAACAGTCAGAGGACATCAGTACAGTGTGTGCAACTAGAAGAAGGCGCCGGTTTTTGAAATTCACTCAAATCAAATATTAAAAGCCAGTAACAAAGTTTTTATGCCAAATATGGAATGTGAGTGTCTATGTGTCATATTTCAGGTGAAATGGCTGTCTAGGATGTGCATGACTGGATTTGTGGTAGAATCAAAGGGACAATTTAAATTCTGGGGGATTCCAGCCTGAGCGGTTTGTGGCAAGCAGTGAAAGAACTCATTTCATACCTTGTAGGATAAAAAACTGAATAGGCCTCCACTGTCACCATTGTTATCAGTTGGCTATTTTATTAACTATTATCTTCAATCAAAATTATAGCACAAAGGAAGTCCAGATTTGTGGGAAGAGTACTGTCTATAAAACACAATCCAAATCTATTATAGACCAAAATAAAACATTTTTTATGAGAGAGAGAGAGAGTAAATGTGTTTCTGTTCTTTCCTTCTAACAGGGAGTTCTGGGATAAAACTCGGGTCACCAGTTTTTATATATAAACACACATACATACACAAGACATGAAGTTGGGGGGAAGGGATGTGTTTTGAGGGTACAGGAGGAGTTAGAGGGGAGTAAATGGAAATGGATATGATCATATTTCATTTTATATGTATATGTAATACCTTTAATGTATGCAATTCTTTTTTGCATGAAATTCTTAAGGATAAATGAAACTCATAATTAAATATGAAAGTTAATGAATAAACAAAAGTTTTAAACTTTCAAATACATTCATGTAAAATTTATGAAAGAGTAAGTACAACTCATGAATAAACTTGTTTTCCATAGAACTTTTAGTGGTATTTGAAATTTTTAAAAATGTTTTTCAAAAGAAGTTTCAGTAAGTAGAAAATTGGAATTAACAAAAAGGGAAAAAATTCATGTTTCTATTTTGAGTTATGAAATCTAGTTTCCAAACCTCCCAGTCCCAGACTGTATTGAAGTGTTCCTGGATAAATGGAACCTTCAAGCCAGCTGAAGAAAATAAACACTCCCAGTAGGCATGTGGTGTTTGGAGAGTTCAAAGCTAGGACAATGTGAAGGGAGCAAAGATTATCTCTTCCTCTTTTGCTCAGATTTCCCCTTAACTGGTTTCCAGAGAATATTAGTCTTTATTGTTTTGTCTAAAAAGTCCACTAAAATACTTCAAAACTCAACAAGACCTGTCAGTCATAATCAAGAGCTGCTGTGGGACACCAGTTCAGACGCTTCAAAGTGTCTTTTGAATGTTTTGGAACCTTTCAAGATTGAAATCATAATTGTTACAGAAATACTCAGAGATTCCATCATTAAATGTAGGGGAACACAAGAAGGTCCTGCCTTCTCATAAACTCATTTGTGAAAATCTGGTTTAGCTGTAGTCTTGATCCATCTTCTGCTTTCTGAAGATCCAGGCTCTGTCTTTGAACTCTAGAGAATAAAACCAGGGAAGGAGAGAAAATGGTGGAAAGAGCAGCTCTTGGAAAGGGAGAGGTGAGGGGCTTCAGAGGAATTCGGGAGGAAAGAAAAACAGCTTGTATGTGAAGGAAGTCCATGGGAAAAGCAGAAAGCAAACTTGAAGAGATTCCCTGGACCTTTTTCACAGCTTTTGAAATATAGGAGCCAAAAAGGCTGTTTAAAGTGACTCTTTGGCATCTCTGACTCCCCTCTATCACTGAGCCCCACAACCTGCTGTCATCCACACTGATTTGCATTTGTGATCATCAGTAACAGGATCTAAGGAAGTCTGCATTCTTCAGCCACATGAAGCTTACCAGCTTCCATGGTGGAGACAGTTACAACTTAGAATCAAAACCCAAATAAAGGAACTAGACACTTAAGTCTTGCAGACATTAGGAAGTTTTACTTTACAATGAGACTTGCTGCCATGCCTCAAAGAGAAAAAACAGGGGAAATAAAAATTTCTTCTTAATGGTTGTATTCCTTAGGAGTGAGAAGAACCATCAGATAAATAAGCAAAAGAGAAGATCTCATCTCATATGAAAATGTTTCCCTTCCCAGAAATAAATTATCTTCCATCATTATAAAATTTCAATTTCATAAGAACGTTAAAGGCATTGAGCCCACAATTCTCTGTTGGCTTACCTGTGTACATGGTCCTTAAGCTAGCCTGACTGGAGAAAGACTTTTCAGCCAGGGGTGACTTCCACACCACACTTCCAATACACATTTGTCTGTTCATCTCTTCAGTTTTAATGTCAAGACATGGGCAGGGTGCTACCTGCATCTAGTGGGTAGAAGCCAGAGATGGTGTAATTGCTCAAGAGTGTATAGGACAGTCTTCTAAAAGAAACTATCCGACCCCAAAAGTCATAACAACAGTATTGAGAAACCCTGGTCAAGAATCATCTGAGATTTTCATGGTGATCTTTATCATTGGGCATGGTCTCTTCACTTTTTCCTTCATGTTGTACTCAGAGCCAGGCCTTTGCCTTCATTAATACTGACTTCTCTTCTTCCTTATCCTGCCTTCAGTAGAACAAAGGACCTTTCTACAAGACATCTGTATTAATTGGCAGTCCTTGTTCAGCTTGAGGAAAATGGTGCATGGTGCCTAGTATAATAGAGTACAGTACAATATAGAATAGACTCATATAGTACAGTATAAATAACCATGTGAGGTTTGGGTACTGCATTAGTTATGTTTGCATAGCTGTAACCAAGATACTTGAGAAAAGCCTTAAGGCGGGAACATTTTATTTTGGCTCATGATTTCATGGTCAGTTGGCCTGAGGAGCTTGGGAAGAACATTATGGCAGCACAATTGTGAGGTGAATGACCTTCTTCCACTCCATGGTGGACAGGAAGTAGATAGTGGTGGCCAAGGTCAAGTTAGCTTCAGTACCTCACCCCAATGACTTATTTTCTGCAGCTAGACCACACCTTATAAAGTTTCCAAAACCTTCCAAAATACAACCATCACCCTTCCTGGGGGAGCATTCCATATTTAAACCAGCACATACTGGTTTAATGAGTACATACTTGGAAAACACTGGGGATGTTGCCTTACACCCAAGCACTTACTACATGTTGACCATTATTATTTTACTCTCAGGAATACCAAGTCCTGTGCTGGCCAACTCATTTCCTCTTTCTACCACAAGTCTGGGAAGAAGGTGTATTTTAGTAATAGTGGTTTCTCTCAAATGCTTACCTAAGCTATCAAACTGTTCCAAGACTGTACTGACCAGTGTTTTTTATTTTTATTTTGGTTTTGTTTTTGTTTTTTAAAGCAATGGGGCAAGAAGTGTCCTATTTTTTTCTTTCTTGATTTTGGGTATTTATGTTCTCTCTTGGGACAAGGAACATTGATGAATAGTAAAGGACAAAGAGGAAAAAGGAAAAATAATCCAAAGCATTGTGGTGGGTGGCAGAATTCTCAGCCTGTATGGATGCAAAAATAGGTGTATCCTGGAAAAAGTATAGGATTCTGGCATGAGTGACCCTGTACATTGTGTGCCTTTCACTGTAATAAAAATTGTAGAAACAAGAGAAAGTTTGCATCTAAGCGGGTGTGTTATTTTGCCCATGAATCTGTGGTGGAAGTAGAAAAAGGAGATATAAGTGTCTAGAGAGGCTTGCGGGTTTCATCCCCAAAGAGATATCAGAACCAAGATAAGGATTATGGAGATTTTGTTTGTTTCGTTGGTTGGTTGGTTGTTTTTCATTTTTTTTAAAGGTAATTGAGTCAATGAGAGGATAAAAGACTATATAAAGAGGAGATATAGTCTTTTTAAGAAGCTATTTCTGGATGGATGGATGGATGGATGGATGGATGGATGGGTGTGGGTTGGTGGGTGGGTGGATGGATATTTGGGTGAAAGGGTGAGTGGGTGGGTTGATGAATTTTGGGTGAGTGAGCGGATAGATGAATGGGTAGATGAATGGGTTACTGGCTGGATGGGTGGGTAGATGGATATGTGGATGAGTGGGTGGATAGATAGATGGGTGTGTGTGGAGGAAGATAGATGGATGGAAGGATAGTTGGCTGAAGAGATATGTGGGCAGGTGGATAGATGGTCCGTGGATAGATGGACACTATATTACATAATAAATTAAAAGCAGCTTGTTTTCAGAGGTACTGAGGAGTACGTGCTTTCTGCAGTCTATTCTGCTAGAGAAATACCTAAAATCCCAAATCACCATAAAAAAATGAAAGTGACATGTGTGGTATGATTTCCCTGTTTTGGTATTTTATGTTTTATGTGATATGAATTATGAAATAATTGTTACTCAGTTTAGGCTGGCTTTGTTGAATGCAAACATTTGAAAACAGACTCCCATCATGATTATCCATTGATTTTATTCTTTCAGATCATAAGGCAAATGGATTTTCAGCATCAAAAGACCACCATCAAGAAGTTACAGTAATCGAATACCAAGGTATAGCATCTTATTGATCTGTTTACATACCTTGTGAGGATGTTATGTGATGCCTTCTGTTTGTTAAGGTTTGTGTGCTGTTTCTCTCTCCCCCCCTCTTCCTTTTCTCTTCCCCACTCCCGTGTGTGTGTGTGTGTGTGTGTGTGTGTGTGTGTGTGTGTGTGTGTGAATGTTTGTGTTGAGGGAGGGTATCCATTGTGGGAGGACAACTTTGTGGAGTCAGTTTTCTCCTTCCACCTTATGTGAATTCCAGAGATCAAACTCAGTTCGCCAGGCTTTTGTGGCCAGTCATCAACAGCTGAGCCATCTCACTGCCTCTTATAGCCAGTCAGGTTTTGGTCTCTTCAGCCGCCTAAAGAGGAACTTTTGGACTTTAGGCACCCTGTCTTCAAAGATTAGCAAGATGAGGGTGGGGCAGAAGTTCCATTAGGTTACCTAGGCAGTACAGGATTAGGGTGGTAAAACAAAAAGCAGTGGGATATTTCAGTTAAGGCCTTTATGTTGTGATATACTACTTAGTTAAGCTAAAACAACATACTTTATTGTGGGTCAGTTTCAAATGAGGGAAGGTGGCTAAGAGGAACTAAATGCCCAAGAGTGATTTGGACTCTGGCGCACTTACAGGACGAGCTGGGCAACATGCCAAGAAGGGAGGCTGGAAAGGCAAAGAGTGCACACACAGGAGAGCATGACCTCCAGAGTCTAAGAAAGTGAAGTTCAGTCTTCTACTCACTTTCCCACAGGCACTTCCTCGTCCAGCCAGACCCCGGGTGTACGTGCCTGGGTTTGAATGTCTCAATTAAAATGTCATGATTGCACACTTTATTCGTACACAACTTTTAAAACACTGAGGCAAAACTAATGTAACTTTAACACCTGACATCTTAAAGTGTAAGCACTTCAGTGGTACTCAGTGTATCCAACGTGTTCTAAAACCACAACCCCTCTCTAGACACAGAATGCTTTCTCCACTCCAAAGTGAAGTTCTATGCATACTTGCCATTACTTTTTTAAAGACACGCTTTATTTTTTTTCAGCATCTGAGTGAGTTTATTCTCTTTCCAATTGAACTTAAATTTCACAACTTTGAATGTGCAATTAAAATAAATGCCAATTAGTCTAATAAAATACCACAGTTAAAACAGTTATTTTAATTACATTTTCTAATTTTTTTAATTTTATTTTTTTCTTATCAGTTACATTTTATTAACTCTGTATCCCAGCCGTGTCCCGCTCCCTCATTCCCTCCCAGTCCCACCCTCCCTCCCTCATCTCCACCGTGCCCCTTTCCAAGTCCACTGCTGAGGGGGGACCTCCTCCCCATTCATCTGATCCTGTTTTATCAGGTATCTTCAGGACTGGCTTTATTTTTAATATAGAAAATTCTTCCATAATTTATTGCAATCAAATGTTTATCCCAGGGATGAAGCTACTGTGCTCAATGAGAAATTACTTAATGGCAAAGCCAGCTTCCCATGTTCAAGGACTGGGTTAAATGCATGGGTACCTGTGCACACACATACACACACACACACACACACACACACACACACACACACACACACACAGTCTGACTCCAGAACAAATGTTTACTGTTTTTTTTTTTTTTCTGTCACTTCTGTTCTTTTAATTAGAGTGCCCTTCATTTCTATTTTCTCTCTGCCCTGCTTATTCCAGTTTGGCTCTCCATTAAGCAAAAATCAGTTTCTATTTTCTTCTACATTTAGTTTGGGGACATATATATTTTTTCAGTAACTTGAAGTTTGTAACATTTTGTGATTTATATACGTGGAATACATGTCATTCAGTTTTTTTTTCTCATATTTCTCTGATGTCAAGAAGTTGTGAATTAATCCCTGCTTCTCAGACTTGCTGGTATGTCTCCCTTCCCATGGTGCTGTGAAAGCAGATTAAGCTGGAAATCAGGGCAGCTCTGCCAGGCTTGTACATCACATGAGCAGCTCTCTGTCTAAAACTGAACCTTTTTAATCAGTTTTCAATTTAATAGCAACCATTTTCTTAGCAATGTTCTTTTTCTTTCCATCAAAATTAAACAAACAAAACTGACAACATAATCCACCTTAATAGAAAAGGTTGGCATGCCTTTTTGTATATTAATGTGTCTTGGGTGAAAAAATATGATTTATATCAATACTGTTTGTTTTACTATCCAAAGAAGAGGTTACATTTTAGTTCAGATTTGGGGAGTGTAAATGTAGACATACGATGATATTGTGTAGATTTCTATCATGTGGAGGCAAGCTTATATTTAAAACTAAAGATAATTTCCTTATGGATGAAAATAAGAAAGATATTTATGGAGCATATGTTGTATGCAAGATATAATGTGACAAGAATTATTATTTTAGCATTTCACTAATACCAGTATGATGTTCCCATTGTCTAAGGCCTACTACGTGACAAAGGTCTAAATTGATAGCTTATATGGTGAACTACCATGTCACCACAAACCTGATACAGAAGCCAGATACAGAAATTTTGCCAGCTGTGAGGTTTGAATTTTGGCTGAAGGAGAAAAGGTAGAAATAGCATCTAGGTTCTTTATCCTGAGATGTTAGCTCCATAATTCTAGTACTTTCACTTTCTATGTGAAAATCCCAGGTCTGTCATTCCAACATACTACAGACTCTAAAACAATAGCCTTGTTCTCTAACAATTTTAGAGAGTAATAGCTCAAAGTGTTGATCAAAGTGTTGATAACTTAGTTCTGGGTCTTGACTCCTCCCTTGTGCCGGACACAATTTCTCAAAGAATCTTAGAAATAAGTTCCCTGTTTTCTAAATCTGTGATCAGATGTTACCTTCTGGAAGAGGTCAGCTTTGTTTTGTACATTGGGTCTTTGTTCCTACATCTTCCTTGCGGCTTTAGTCTCCCTCAGTCTCCTGAGGTTCTTGCTGTTTGTTGGCCTGACTTTCCCTGCTAAACTGTCAGATCCCAAAGGGCAAAGGATCCTTATTCCGATTGAAGCTCAAGAACAACACTGGCCGCGTGGCATTACTGAACATATTTTGGACAGCTGGCTAGATCCCTTCTTTTCATTATACGTGTTCGGTGAAAAGGAGAATAAAGTCAAACCCCTAGGGTGGGGAAAGTCTTTGATTACATTTTTCTAATAGAATTTCCTCAGGTCTTTCAACAGAGCAGTAAGGGAGAAATCAGGAGAACTCACCAAACAGGATGCATTTGTGTGCATGTTTAGTTAATTATGTGAAATAATGTGGTGCAGTATAAAATTATCTCTTAAGATGCAGGGGTAAGCCACAGAGAAATGGTGAAAATGAGTGTGGGTGTGTGGGTGTGTGTGGAAAACTCAACGGGAAGGAAACCTATCTAAAACTCAAGACTCCGGAAGTTACCACCCTTTCTCCTTAATCAACAGAACGGAACTGTTTGCTCAGACAGGTCCCTTAGCACACATTTGTCTTTGTAGCATAGTTTAAACTCCTCTGAATGATTGCTCTGTGGGGTGTGAAAGCTTAAAGCTTTAAGCATCCTTAAAACAGCTTCAGGTTCCATTTTTCCTTGCCTTTCTTTTCCCTAGTCAGTTTTCTACTACCTTTCATTTGATTTCTGTCAGTAGAAGTACAACTGAAATTTTAGAAACACAGCACAGGCTGCACACAACAACAACAACAGTGAACACTTATCTATCACATAGCAATCACCGCTGGGTTACAAATTTCAAACATATGCCTTATTATAGATATTTTGTCTATGATGGAGTATATGAAATTGGATCTTTTTAAAAATGGCATTAAATGTTCTTAAACACCAACACCGTCCACATGGAAACAATCTTCACTTAATTTTTCTTTCAGTGAAAAATCCTGTGCTTTTCATTTTTAGGTCAAACCCCATGCTTTTTGGTTAAAAATATTCAGAAATATGGAATTGGCACTCCAAAGTTCCTGCTTGAAGCATACTTTTAAACTATTCATAGCTGGAGCTTCTGCTTGGCAGCTTGAAGTAGCACTGAGACCAGTGTGTTGTCCTAGTGTCCCCTAGTTGTCTCATTTAGATAGTCAAAAGAGGTGACTCCCTCAGTGGTTCCAGAAATTCCTTAATGATGGAACTGTGGGAAATTTACTGTAATAAAAGTGATCTTCGCTACACTGAAGTAAAATTAATGAGAAGATTAATCTTTTGACAGTTTATCCAGATTGAGGTAAGTTATAGGCAGTCATTTTTCAGTCCTACAATTTATTACAGGACTAAATTAGCTATATTATCAATATATTCATAGAGTGAGTCACAAGGGAGCTGAGTGGGAATTTAGCCTGTGAGGAATTTAGTCTGTGCATTTTCCCAGCCTTGAATGGACTTTCTTAGCTACAAATCTACAGTAATCCCCTAGACCTCCAGACCAGGCTGGCCTCAAGCTCGCAGAGATCTGCCTGCCTGCCTCTGCCCAGTGTGCTATGATTAAAGGTGTGTGCCACCACTGCCAAGCTTAGACCATCCCCTTGATGCTCATCCATTGTTGTCTTTTTTTTTTTTTTTACTTTTTTTTTTCCATCGTTGTCTTAAACGGCATTATCTTACCTGCATCTTCCAGCAAACTGTAGACTCTTTGGATGCCAAGATTTAAATTAACAAGTAAATAATTAATTACTGCTGCTATTTGTTAAGTACCAATCTTGTTTAGGTCTGTATGTTTTGCATATATTGCTGCTTTTAAAGACTTACAACTCTGTGAGCTACTATCCCATTTCTAGTGATGGAAACTCAGATTCCACAATACAGAAAGCAGGATTGTGCCACATAACTATTACAGAGAAGAGATGTCATGCTCCCACTTCACCTCTTGGTTAAGCCAACATGGCACTTCTTGATGTGATGCACTTCTGTAACATGTGTGGATGGCTCAGTGGAGATAAATGGGTAGATGCAAATGCAAAAAATGTAATTTAAAGATGCTTTAAGGTTTTTTTTAAATTTAAATAAAATGTAAACTCATAGGAATAATTAAAAACCATATTTTTCCTATTGTTCCTAGAGGCTATTTTAGCTTGTAAAACTCCAAAGAAGACCACTTCTTCCAGATTAGAGTGGAAGAAACTGGGACAGGGTGTCTCCTTAGTCTACTATCAACAGGCTCTCCAAGGTAAGAAACTATAGGTGCAAAGAGGCCACAGCGAGCAGACACCAAGTACAGCCCATCTCCTTTAACTTACAAATGGGAACAGGACATGACTGATTACTGAAAATGTGTTTCTGTAAGTGTGAGATGAAATGAATAGTGTCTTGAGACTAAATTACAACAGCTACAAAAACGAAACAGAGCAAAAGTGGGCAGATTCCACTGAGTCCTGGGACCCTTGATTGCTTAACACAAGGCACGATTATTTTTGCTGGCCTAGTAAATTAAACTGTTGAGAGAAGGGAAAAAGACTGATCTAAAATTGGGCTGGACACATGATGGTATGCACCGTTCATCTCAGCACTCCAGCAACAGAGGCAGGAAGATGATCTCTGTGAGTGTAAGGCCAGCATAGTCTACATAGCAGGACAGTCAGGATTACAAAGAGAGACCCTATCTCAAGCAAAACAAAACAAAAAGATATGAGATTGGGATAGAGGGATCCTGCTCAGTAATAATAGCCTCACTCTACTTTCCCATTTCTCTCTAGAAAGCAAGCCTGAAGCCTGGAGTGTTAGGCACTGTGGACTGTTCATTGCAAAGGAGCCTGCAGAGTTAGACTGTTAGTTACAATAACTGTTAGCAAGTACTTTGCATTTGTTGTCCATGTCTTTAACTCTCTCGTCTCCCCACTGATTGTATAATTTATTATTAATTAAAATGTGATAATGGATGGACTACATTGTTAGTTTGTAGGGAACTTTGCTGTTGCTGTGATAAACTACTATGACACAAGCAACTTAAGGAAGAGAGAGTTTATTGCGGCACTCAGAGGATGGAGTCCCGTCATAGTGGGGAAGGCAGCCGGATCAGGAAGCTTACTGATCTCATTTCTATCCATACACAGGAAGTGGAGATGTACAAAAGGAAGTGTGGTGAAGCCATACTCCCTCAAGGCCCATGTCCAGTGATGTATTTCCTCCAGCAAGGCTCCACCTCCTAAATGCCCAATTACCTCTAAGACAAAGGGCCAAGGTTTCAAAGTCATAAGCCCATGAGAGACATTTCTTATTCAAACCACAATAGCCACTTAAGGACACATGTCTTTCTTTAATCCCAGTCACTCAGGAGGTAGAGGAAGACAGAGCTCTGGGAATGCAAGCCTGGTTTGGTCTACACAGTGAATCCTAAAACACTCAAAGGAATGTGGTGAAACCCTATATCAAAAATAAATAAAATATGTCATCTGATTCTGCCCCATTAAGATAAAACTGTAAGTTTCAAATGGCTAAGAGAACAGGTATTTTCTCTATAATTTTCTACAGTTGTCAATTCGAGCACCTGTATATTACACAAAACCCCATTTTATTTTATTTTTATTACATGTATTTATTTTGGGGGGTTGGGGAATACATGCCATGTGGACAACCAGCAGCAGTTGGTTCTCATTCCACCATGTGGAAATCTGGGATGAAACTCAGATTTTTGGACTTGGCAGCAAGCATCTTTTCCCACTAAGCCATCTCACAAGCCCACAAAAGCCCACTTTAACTCAGTGTTTGTTGTTATAAAAACCCAATCAAGATAATGTATTTAAGATCTTTTCCACCTACCTTTTCTTCTCTGGTATCATTTGAATAACTATATATAAAGTTACTGTTTTGACCAGTTAAATCAAGCTCTTCACTTTTTAAGCAGAAATAGATACTAGAAAGGTGGCAAGGCAGTCATTTGGTTGAGTTCTTTAAAACCAATCATGGTGCCAGGTATGGTGGTACCAGCACACCTATAATCCTAGAATTCAGGAGGCAGAAGTAGGTGAACTCTGTGAGTTCAAGACCAAAATATCAGAAGACTTGTCTACTTAGAGAGCCTTAATCCATCAAAGGCTATATAGTGAGACCATGTCTCAGAAAGAAAGAGGGGCGGGGGAGAGGTGTTAAGCTAAATAGTCTTTTGTTGTTATTTTGGGGGACAGGTTTCTCTGTGTGTAGCCCTGGCTGTCCTGAAACTCTGTAGACCAGGCTGGCCTCAAACTCACAGAGATCAGCCAACCTTTGTCTCACAAGTGCTGGGATTAAAGGTGTGTGCTACCATGCCTGGCTCTAAACAGTCCTTTTTTAATAGTCTAAAACTGTCCTCCAAAATACATAATATGCATATGTAAGGTAAAAGTTTGAAATTAGGTTTTTACCAGGAAAACAAATGCTTTAATTTTGAGTGAAGTGACTTGAGAAAGATGCTACATACAAAGCTGTTTGCATTATTTCTAATGTTACTATCTTTTCCCCCATAAAAGGTGACTTTAAGGATCGTGCTGAGATGATAGATTTCAACATACGGATCAAAAATGTTACAAGAAGTGATGCTGGAAAGTATCGCTGTGAAGTCAGTGCTCCATCTGAGCAAGGGCAGAACCTGCAGGAAGATACAGTTACTCTACAAGTACTGGGTAATGCGTACACGAATGTGTAACTGGGTACTGTGCATGCAGAAGTGTAACTGCTGTTAGCTGTCCCATCCTCATCCCCCAGCCCGGGGAGTAGGAGACTGACTCAGAGCCCCAACCAATACTGCCATAAAATCTAAAAGCACCTTCTCAGCAACAGCCAGGTCATTCCCATCATCTCAATAGGTGTTGAAATCACTAATTTTCATTTCCACATATTAGTTTAAGACTGAACATTTTGCCCAAGATTTTGCTTTTTGTTAGTTTGTTTTCCAGTAGCCTAGGTGGTATCACATAAGTTCCCTCTCACCTCACCCTTTCATCTTCAGTACAACAGAGGCAGGCTAGATCTCTGTTGCACTTAGAATTGCTAGGCATTTCCTTCAGTAATTAGCCAGAATAAACCCTCCATTTAAAAGGCCCACTCTGAGAACTGGCAAAATGGGCCAGCAGTGATTAAGAGCACTGGCTGCTCTTACAGATAACGGAGTTCGGCCCACATTTATTTCCCAGCATCTATATGATTTTCACAAGAAAAACCTCTGTCACTCCAGGTCCTGAAGATCTGCTCCCCTCTGCTGGATTCCATAGGCATTACATGCAGTTGGTACCCATGCATACATACAGACAGGCAGACAGTCATACACATTAAATATAAATAAGTACATCATTATAAGGTACATGTTGTGTGGCCAAGTCCACCTTTCTATATCTATATTACAGACGATGGATTTGGAATCTCAATGACAGCTGCCATATTTTTCCATAGTACTTTTATATTTGAGACTGTATGTATGTATGAACATACTAAAGATGAGGATGTTGTTGGATAGTCTCAAAATTTTGCCTACCATTGTCAGTCCTGGGTTTTCCAGGAGATTATTAATAGTTATTTACTGTCTTAGTTAGGGTCTTACCACTCTGAAGAGACACCATGACCATGGCAACTCTTATAAAGAAAACATTTAATTGGGGCTGGCTTACAGTTTCAGAAGTTTATTCCATTGTTATGGCAGGAAGCATGGCAGCATCCAGGCAGACATGATGCTCGAGAAGGAGCTGAGAGTTCTACATCTTGATCCAGGAGACTGTGTACAATACTAGGCATAGCCTGAGCATATATGACCTCAAAGGCCCTCTCTACACTGACACAGAAGTGTGTCACACCAACAAGGTCTCACCTCCTAATAGTGCCACTCTCTATGGGCCAAGCACTTAAACACATGAGTTACTGAGGGGAGGCATACCTATTTAAACAACCCTGGCCTCCAAAGGCTTGTGGCCAAAACATAATGCAAAATGCATTTATTTCAACTTCAAAAGTCCCGTAGCCTCTCAGTCTCAACAGTGTTTAAAAGTCCAAAGTTCTTTCTGAGATTCATGCAGTGTCTTCACTGTAATCCCCTATAAAAACAAAATCAAAAACACAGATCACATACTTCTAACATATAATAGTACAGGATATACATAACCATTCTAAAACATAGGAAATAGAGCACCATGAGAAAATACTGGATCAAAGCAAAACTGAAAATAGCTGGGCAAATCCAAACTCTGCATCTCCATGTCTAATGTCAAAATGCTCTGCAGATCTTCAACTTTTTTCAGCTTTGTTGACTGCAACACACTTCTTTCTCTTGGACTGGTTCCACTCCCTGTTAGCAGCTTTCCTTGGGAGGTATCTCATAGCTCTGGCATCTCTAACATCTTGGGGTTTCTAAGGCAATCCAGGCTTCAACTTCACAGCTTCACACAATGGACTCTCTGGACTTTCATACAGAGACATCACTGCCACACCCATGGCCTCAGGGGAGGGAGATTCCATAACCCATTTCTTGTATACTTGACTCTAAAGCTAGAACCACATAATTGAAGCTACCAAGTTCTGATGCTTGCTGAGACTGAAACATGGTTCCCTTGTTCACCTTCAACTTATTAGCTTTTAGTTTTTGGTGATTTCCTTCACTGCCTAATCTTGGTTGTTCTGGAACTTACTCTGTAGAACTCTGCAGAGTTCAAAGCTGTCATTGAACTCAGAGATATGCACACCTCTGTCTCTTGAGTGCTGGGATTAAAGGTGTGTGCCACCATGTTTGGACCTAATTTTTTCTTTAGTTCCTTTTCGTAAGATGAAAACTTAGCTAGGTAGGATCTTGCCTGAGGCCACCACTTCCTCAAGTCCATTTACTATCTTTAATTTGTTTATCTCCTTGAATACAGAATTTAGCTCCATTCTACTTCCTCATGCCCCTTTAATCCTTGAACCATACATATGTAATTTTTCCTTGCTCAGCTTGCTCTGTTTCATCAAAACACTCTTCGTAAGAGTAAACCACAGAACAGAATCTGTACTAGGCTGTCTTGAGATTTCCTTTGCCAATGCAATTAATCTAAATCTCTTCACCTTAGCCTCAGGCAGACTTTTTTGATAAAAGCAAAATTCCACCACATTTCCCACCAAAATAACACAAGACAATCTCTAGGCAACATACTAAAATTCTTCTCCTCTGAAACCTTTGAGTCAGGCCTAGACAGTTCAAATCACCCTCACCACCACTGTTTTCTATGCTTCTACTAGGATGGCCCATTAAGCCCCACTTAAAGCATTCCACTGCTTTCCTAATCCAAAGTCCTCAAATCCACATTCATCAAAACAAAGGTTTGGTCAGGCCTATCATAGCAATAGCCCAGTCCTTAGTTTAGAGTTATTGCTGTGAAGAAGCACCATGACCACAAAAATAAAACTTTAACCTGTTTATAGCATTACACGCTTCTTTAGTCTACAGCTCCAAACTCTTTTACAGTCCTGCAAAGCAGTTCCTACCTAAGGCTTATGAACCATGTGGTCAGAGTCCTGGAAATGCATCTATTTCTTGGTGCCAGTTTTTTTTTTTCATTCATTAATTTATTTATTCACTTTACAGCCTGATCACAGCCCCCTTCCCTCCCCTCCTCCTCGTTCCACCCTCGTACCCCTTCCCCCATTTCTCCTAAGAGAAGGGGAGCCCCCCCCCCATGGGTACCAACCCACCCTGGCACATCAAGTGGCAGCAGGACTAGGTATATCCTCTCCCACTGAGGACAGACAAGGCATCCCAGCTAGGGGAAAGAGATTCAAAGGAGGCAACGAGAGTCAGACAGCCCCTGTTCCTTGTTAGGGGACCCACATGAAGAACAAGCTACACATCTGCTATACATGTGTAGGGCCAGCCCATGTATGCTCTTTGGTTGGGGGTTCAATCTGTGGCCCCATGGGCCCAGATTAGTTTACTCTGTTGGTCTTCTTGAAGTTTTGGTGTTCTTGACCTCTCCGGTCCCCTTGACTCTTCCTCCCACTCTTCTATAAGACACCCCAAGGTTGGCCTATTGTTTGGTTGTGGGTCTCGTCATCTGTTTCCATCAGCTGCTAGATGAAACCTCTCAGAAGGCAGTTATACTAGGCTCCTGCCTGCAAGCATAGCAGAGTGTCATTAATAGTGTCAGGGATTGGGTCCTTTTTTGCTAATAGTTGCTTTTCTCATTTCTGTGACCACCTAAACAACGAGGAGCAACTTAAGGAAGGTTTTTGTCTTGAATAGATTAAGTCCAGCATGGTGGGGAAGTCGAAAAGGTAGGACCAGCTCATCTGTGGAAGTGAGCATGAGGCTGCTTGCTCATAGCTTGGCAGACCAGAAAGCACAGAGGCCAGAAGCAGGAGTAGGCTATAAACCTCAAGGCTAATCTTCAGTGACACACTTCCTCACAAGTGGTTCTACAACCTCCCCAAACACCACCTGCAGCTATAGGCCAAGTGCTGAAACACGTGAACCAACCCATGGAGGATATCTCATACTTGAACCATCATAACCTCCTATTTTATGAAATGAAGAGACTCAGAAAAATATAGGTCTAGCATTCTCAGTACATGGCTTTCTAAGTTCAAGTGTACTGACAACTGTTTGGTAGAAGATGAGCAAATGAAGCATATGTGAAGTTTTCATAGGTCAGACATAGAAATGGCTCTATCACTTTTACTGATATTTCTTTGGCCAAACTTACATAAGTAACCTACCCGACAGCAAGAGGGATGAAAAATATGGTATATTGTGTGCTTGAGGATAAACAAAATGTGTCCAGTGAATAGTGTCCCATTTGTATCTCAGGTGTCCACTCAGTACAGAACTATTAAAAGTCATGTTCAGCTAATAAATAATCTATGCTATTTGGCTTCCATGTCCAGTGGCTCCTGCAGTTCCATCATGTGAAGTACCCACTTCTGTGATGAGCGGAAGTGTTGTAGAGCTACGATGTCAAGATAAAGAAGGAAACCCAGCTCCTGAGTACATATGGTTTAAAGATGGCACAAGTTTGCTAGAGAATTCAAAACGTGGCATACACAACAATAGCTCCTATACAATGAATACAAAATCTGGAATTCTGGTAAGTTCATTTCAGGTATAAACTACTGTCTTCTTTCCATGATCCTCTGCTGTCCTCCAAGCCCACAAACCTTAGCCCTGCCTACTCCATTTGCCCTGCCCAGGTGTATCGGTTTTGTATTGGTCAAACAGGAGTAAATTTTTAGGCAAGGTGTATACAATGACAAGCATATGTGAGAAAGGCAAATGTGAAAATTTGCTCTCATCTAGACAGCAACCAGATCTTGGGGACCAGTAATCGGCATCAAAATATACAGCACCAGACCAAGCTTTAACAGATGGTACAGGCACTAAGGAATAATGGAACAGACTACTGTGGGGAGTGTGAAGATGGTATAGAAAACCAGGGAGCTAAGCAAAACAAGGTGTGTCCAGTAACTCAGGGAAGGCCAAACCTTGGTCATGATGGATCAGCTGGTACTCTATAGCTACCTTTTTGGCCTAGAAAAATCACTAATCTCAGTCTCAATTTAAACCACTTTTAAAAAAAGCTCAGTTGGGGATACCTGGACCCCAGTGCTAACCATATGGAAACAGTGACCTTAGGAAACCATGCTAGGATATATGAGTCATTAACTGTCTCACAGGTCCAGCTCCTTCTGTCTCTGTGATTTACATATATGTTACCATAAACTTAGTCCAGAATTTCCAATTGTCTCCTTCTTACCTAGAGATAACTGATAAAGCTCCATAAATGAGCTGTTGAAACTTAATGACTGTTTTTACTTTTACTTGTTTTTTAGAGTAGAGATGGGAGAGAAAAAACAGATCATTTAATTTGAAACCTTTTGTTTCCAATCAAGATATTATCACATTGGGTTTTAAATATTTTATATCCAGCCATGCAAAATCACTACAACTATTACGAAAAACACCCTGCAGGGCGCAGTGGTGCACACCTGTAATCCCAGCACTCAGGGAGGCAGAGGCAGGTGGATCTCTGTGAGTTTAAGGCCAGCCTAGTCTACAGAGTGAGTTCAGGACAGCCAAGGCTACAGAGAGAAACCCTGTCTTGAAACAGAAACAAAACAACAAAACCTTTATAGGTAAGATAATACTAACAACCGTCTTAGGGATTTTGAAGCAGAGGTCCATGGCTTCCTTCTATTCTTTCTACTAGTGCAGTGTCATTTAAAAACCAGACCTTCTGATGCCCAGGAAAGCACACAGGCCCCTGTAGTTAAAAAAAAAAAAAAAAAAAGAGTGGAGGTCGCTGCCCTCAAATAAGGCCATGTTTCAGCATTTCCAGCCATCAGGAGCAGTCAGCAGGTCTGAGAGATCTGACACCGTGAAACAGGCACAAATCCTGCCGTCACACACTGCTATATTTACTTTTCGGGTTTATTTTTCCTGAGTGGGTGATAAAAGCCCTAAGGCAAGTCTGAAATGCTAGGATCCACTCTCCTCAGGGAATCAGCCCTTGGGCTGTGTGGTAAGGACACCTTATGCCCATGGGCAGCTTAAACTGGAGCAGGCTCTTCTTCCTTACCTCCGGCTCCCTCCCTTTTTTCTTTTCTTCCAGAAACTCTCCAAGGCTATAAAACTACCAGTACAAATTATGAAGTCTTTTAATAAAATTCTTACCTCTCATTGTATGGCAGGGAGAAGTAGTAAGGGTTGAACTTTTTGTTGCTGGTTTTTTCTTGAGATAGGGTTTCTCTGTATGGCCCTGGCTATTCTGGAACTCACTATGTAGACCAGGCTGGTTCTGAATTCAGATCCACCTGGCTCTGCCCCTGCTGGGATTAAAGGTGTGCAGCATCACTGCCCAGGGGGTTAAACTTTTCTTTTCAGGATTTTCAAGTACTCTTGAATCGCTATAATTTACAATCCTATGAACATCAGTTGAGGTTTCCTGGGCCTGTGCTACTTCCTGGCCCTATCTCTGACTCATTGAAGAAAGTGTTCATGATTTGGTCCCTCAGTGAACTCACTGTGACTAGGAAAGCACACTAGCACTTTCACTATGGAGTCTTGCTCTATGGAAGACACTTCCCAGACATTAGAGCTACTGAGGGGCACATACCTGTAATGCTTCTTAAAGACTAAAGATGAAGGATCAAGGGTTTGCGACCAGCCTGGCCTATATAGTGACATACTGTAGAAGGGGAGAAGAGGAATGGAAAAAAAAAAAAAAAAGGAGACAGACTGCCTCAGATATACCCGTCTTTTTTCTGTCAAATTAAACAGGCCTGGCTGTTTACTTCTTAAAAGTCCTGGAAGATTCTGGTAGATAATTCAGGTCACAAGAAAAATACAAAGTTCTGAGTCTGTCACAGAGAACAGACCCACTTCATGACAAAATTCAAAGAATGTATGTTATTTCAGGAGTCTACTATCAGGTTTACAGCCTAAAAGGTCTATTTGTTTTTCTTTGTATAAATAGCAATTTAACATGATTTCCAAGATGGACAGTGGAGAATATTACTGTGAAGCCCGCAATTCTGTCGGATATCGCAGGTGTCCTGGGAAACGAATGCAAGTAGGTAAGCGTGGAATACCGAGAACTGGTGTGTGAGTAAAGTATAGAATCGTTAGTAAGATAGACGGTTAAAGGAGCAAGGGGATTGGAGGGGTTGAGTAAATTGAAGGACAAGTGGGAAGAACAGTTTAAAATGAGCTTAAAATTAAACAAAAACAACAGTGCTGTTTTCAGTCTATCTTCTAATCAAGGCAAGACAATTTAGCTTACACATAACAAAGATTTTAATTTTCAAATAGTGTTTTAAAATATACTTTTCAAAGAAATCTGTCCTTCAAATGGCTAAGTGTGCTATAGTATGTATTGTTCAGGCCCACATAAATGGCTGCCACCAACTTGGTACATGCTGTAGTCTGCAGTGGCAGAGACTCTCTTCATGGGAGTACACTAAAATAACACAGCAGCACTTGTATGCTGTGAGGATTATATGTTAGCCATCTGGCTGATTATCACTAAGTCATTGATGACGGTTCTATCAATACCCTGAAACACCAACTTATACTAATTGTAGAGTAGGTTTTCCAAAAGACATATGGAATAGTTATGGACCTCGATTGTTCAAAATGTGGGTACAATATACTATATTTCACAAAATGACTTTTAGAATCCAAGAGAAAGACAGTTTAAGAATCTTTCCTAGGAAATATGAGTTTCAGAGCACACCCCATCTCCCACGCCCAACAGTAGGATCAAACCCAGGGCATGAGTAGATGTCAAAGGGTTTCAGGGCTTGAACTCAGTCGTTCAGGTTAGATGGCAGGTACCTTTACTCACTGTTACATCTTGCAGGTCCTAGTAGTTAAGATTTTGGCAAAGCTTGGTTGGTGAATAGTTTCAATCAGTTTTGAGCCATGTCTTGAAATTAATTTAGTTAAGTAGGCTTCAAAAGCATAGTTAACCTCATCATAGCTAGCAAGGAGAGTTTTTATGACTCTTGGATCTAATGACAGCATCTGTCCATATATTTAACATGAATTCACACATGCTTTACTTTACATTCCAGATGTCCTCAACATAAATGGCATCATAGCAGCTGTAGTAGTTGTGGCCTTCGTGATTTCTGTATGTGGCCTTAGTATATGCTATGCTCAGAGAAAAGGCTACTTTTCAAGTAAGTTAAACTCATCTGTCTCGGATACATGTTTCTTGTGAATACAGATTGTGTTTAAAGGTATACAGTTTCTCCTATGAAGTTCTCCCAACTCTGGAGAGTATTTTTACTGCTACTCTGCTATAGACAAGGTCCAAATAACATTCATAAGGGTTGTGATGTACCTTGCCAACTAAAGAATGCTTCCTTTTTACAAAATTCTGGGCAACGCCACAGAATGGGTAAAAAAAAAATCATCCTAGAATATAACAGCACAAAGACATTGAATGTAGTTAGATGTTTATAGTGTACTAACATATGTGGGAGATCCTGATTTTTATGCTACAAATTATGTTTTTCAGGATATTGATTTGTAATTTTACAAATAATTTCAAATAAACCACCAGTGAAACGTTTCAGTATAGACCTATGTTGAATGTCTAACTTAGTAATATAGTAAGTACAACTATAAAGTTGGCAGCCATTACTAGAAACCTAGTTGGGTGTGCTGGTATATTCCTGTAATCCCAGTACTGGAAGGTAGCATACAGACATAGTAAGCTTGAGGCCAGCCTGAGCTATATAGTGAAGACTGTGTTTCAAAAAAAAATTACAAAACAAAACCGAACAGCACACATAGACCCTACTGAATTAGAGATGCTTCCAGACAAGGCTTTTAGTTCTTCATGGTTAGAACTCAGAACTTCAAACTACATTTAATTGTGTAAATGGTTTGATAATAATTTTTGAAATTTAAACATTTTATCATCTTAACATATTCCTTTACTCCCAGTGTTTAAATATATAAAATCTCAAGAGATTCCATTTGCTGAACTGGCAAAAGGGTACGAAGCTGAAGTTTTAAATGAAATAGCCTGAGTGGGAGTGCATGCCTTTAATCTCAGCACCCAGGAGGCAGAGGCAGGTGGATCTCTGCAAGTTCAAGGCCAGCCTGGTCTACAAAGCAAGTTCCAGGACAGCCAAAGCCCAACAGAGAAACCCTGTCTTGAAAAGCAAAATAACCAGGCTGGAGAGATGGCTCAGAGGTTAAGGACACTGGCTGTCCTTTCTAGAGGTCCTGAGTTCAATTTCCAGCAACCACATGGTGGCTCACAACCATATATAGAGAGTTCTGGTGTGCAGGCAGAATGCTGTATAAATAATAAATAAATCTTAAAAAAAAAAAAAAGAAAAGCAAAATAACCAAAAAGTTACAGCATGAACAAATTTTAGATCTACCGTTTAATAGTGGGTATTAGTTTTAGAACTTAGGCTGAAAACGATTCATATTGAAATAAAACAAAATCAAAAGAAGCTGCCAACAGCATTTAAAGTAAATCTTATACACAAAAAATGTTTCCTTGAAAACTGATTCAGGATAATTCCTTATGCTTTAGCTACTGCTGGGCATGGAGCTCACACATGTGATTACAGCATTCACTGAGCCTGAGGCAATAGGATCATAAGTTCAAGGTTAATTTGGTCTCCATAGTAAGACCCTGTATCAATAAAGAAAAAGGGAGAGTGAACTGTTTTGTGAATTAGAGTTCAATCTGGTCTAGCCTGTTTTAGTAAAAGAATCTAGCCGTGTCCCCCTGCTGGTCAACAGTGAAAGTACAAACAAAATTATGCAAAATTCTTGTCACTTTTACCTACTTGGGAAAATAGCTAATGATTTTTAAATGAGGAGTCAGTAAAGGCATTTCTTAAAATACTGAAAGAGTTGACATGGGCATTAGGAGTTCATTAGCTAAGACTACTACTTCCATGTTCATATGGCAGAAAACCTGTCAAAGGAACCATATTTTTGAGTTTGTTTGGGATCAAAAACAATAAACTCATCAGAAACTATAAACTCAGGCCAAGTCTAATTTGTCTTTGTTTTTCTCTTCCTTATACTTTTCTTTCAGTCTGGTACTGGGGAATGGACCTAGGACAATGTGCCTGCTAGATAACGGCTCTGCTGCTGAACAACATGGCCAGCCTTTTCTTTTCTTTTTGCTTTTTTGAGATAGGGTCTCACAAAAATGGCCAGGCTGGTTTTGAATTTATGATCACCCTGCCTTAGCTTCCCAAGAATCTGGGATTACAGGTTTGCACCAACAGGCCCAACTCCTTACATGATTTTCTAGAGCCCAAAGCTTATTTCTTTTACAAAGGGAAACTTGCAGCTACTTAACAATAGTAATACTATCGTGGAACATCCAAGGATGTTATTCCTTCAGTTATTACGCCGGTGAGACTTTATAATTATACTTTACATTTTAGTGAATTTTGAAAGTTTGTTTTCTTCGTTATACAGCTAACTCCAAAGTATCCTTGATTTTACCCTTGAGCCCTCAAAGCCCAGACATTTGTTGTATGACTTTTTATAGGAAAACTTGCATTTAGAAAGTACAAATGTTACAGGTTGGACTCAAAAGGAAATCAAGCCAGTCATGATAGATAGATCTGCATATTAATTCTTGCATTAATGATATACTTGTTCTTTTGTAGAAGAAACTTCTTTCCAGTAAGTATCCTTTCTTAATACTAATGTTTTTCTTCCTATCTTTTTTATTCTTTAATCATCTGTTTAGTGTCAAACAGTTTATTTGTAAAGAATAACCTTGTGAGAAATTAACCAAGTTTATCAAGAAAAACTACCTCTGTCCTTGTGCCTACTTGTAATGACAAGAGAAAAAGTTTCTAATTTTGTAGGTACTTCCATAGTACAACTTTAAAAACATATTTCTATGTATTACTAAACTGAAAAATTTTAAATGAGCTTTTACTCAGTAATTTTTAAACTTAACTGAAATTTAGTCAGTTTTCTGCCCCACACTGCTCTCGGCACTGCCACTGTGTCAGTTTTAAGAAGGAGAGGGCCAGACACCCGCTAAATCAATACTGGAATTCAATATCGAAATCAGCCCCACTGTGGAGCTTACATGCCAGTAGCAGAAAATAACTAACCCTGCATGTACACGGTACAGTGCTTTAGAGTGTGACAAGAATTCAGGAGGAAATAAAACAAGTAAGAAAGTAGAGAATACTAAGAGTGGGAATGGAGACTATCATTTTAAATGGAGGATCAAGGGACATAGGCAGTATTTGGTAAAGTCTGACGAAGGAAGCAAACCAAGCAGATATGCACAATGGTGTTCTTGTAGAAGAGAGAGAAAAAAAAAATCAAAGAGCTCAAGATCAAGATGTCTGCTGTATCTGAAGATAGGAAGATGAGCTTTATGCGTAGAGCAGTATGGGAAAGAGAGGCAGTGAACACACAAACGTACTGGGGGCTAGACCACATGGAGATGCTGCTAGCAGTTTTGAGGATTCCGAATAGTTAGGCTTTGGTTCATCATTGTAAGAAGCTTTAAATTTTTTAATCCTTTAATGTTCACCTTGGTTTCTCTGTTAATTTTAAGGGAAAAAAGTGAAAGCAGGTAGACCAATTAGAAACAACTAGTAACAGAGAAAAGACAACCTCGCATATGTTGTAAGCTAACATGGGCATTTTGGAGCACTGGAGGGTTATAGCACAGTGGATGTATTTTCAGGAATTAACTGATCTACATTTAGGCTGTTAGCAAAAATATATTTATTTCTATATGTCTGAGTGTTTTATTTAAACGTATGTCTGTGTACCAAGTACATGCAGAATCCATGGAGGCTAAATCTTCTAGTCAGATCTCCGGAAGTTAAAATTACAGAAAGTGAATAAATTGTAATTAATTAATTAAAAATTATGGAGGGTTGTGAGCCAGTGTGTGGGTGAACCTGGTTCTCTTCAAGATCAGCAAGTGGTCTTAACCACCGAGGCTTCCCCTAACCTCCAGGGAAAATATCTTAATTTTTAATGAAAATGTTGCAGTCACGCATGAGACATGGGTAAGATCGTCAAAGGTTCAATTTTGCTGCACAGGGTCTATGACTGATCTTTCTTTACATATGGGCAGGGCGGGTCCCCGTTACATATCCCCCCTCACCCAGAAACCATGGCTTCTCTTACATCCTTTGAAGACTCAGCTGTCACTGATTTCCTATTCCCAAATGCCTCAACCTTGGTGTTTCGCTCTCGTTATTTCCCAGTACAAACACAGGAGAAAGTCTAAGACATCAGGATTAGCAAAGAAGCAAGGCAATTCAGACAGAGCAGCCTGGAAGTGTAGCCACTACCTAGTACCACTCCAGCCCCAAGGCAATGTGAGCACTTCAATTTTTTATTAAGTTAAGGAGTGGAGAATTTTGAACAGAGTCAAATGATCTTAAATACACAGTGAGGGAGACTTATACGTTCTTAATTTTAGCCTCTGTCAAGGGCAGGAGTCTTTATAATCCAGGAAGGAATATTTTATTGCCTTCCACTTTATGCCCATTCATGATATCTAGATTCTTGAAATTCATTGAGCTTCTTCCAGAAACCAAATCAACACAGAAAACTTTCCATGGACAAATGAAATTTCAGATGGTAGTAATCAAACTTTAAAAATATTTAATGTTAATATATTAGGTTGAAAATAAGTCTTGTTTGTGTATTCCATAAAAAATTAACATGTTAGCTTTAGGCTACATTTTGTTGCTCAGGGGTTTGACACAAATCTGTACTTTCTGCATGGCTTTTCTGGATACTGTCTATAAATGTCAGGAACCCATTCTGGGCTGCTGGGTTTTCTTCTTGCCTGGCTAGATAGTCAGTGTTGAATGAGGATGAGTTTCAGGATTGGAAGTGGTAATGTGGTAAACACTGTCTTTATGTTCTACAAACAGGAAAGGTAGTCCTGCATCTAAAGCCACTACAGTGAGTGAAAATGTAAGTACTATTAAAGCATGTTTATAGAACAGGTATATTTAGGGACTATGGCAGGGAAATGAAGCAAATATATGGACATGATGACTTCACTTTAATACGCTTTGGACTGGTGTCTACCGTGGGTACATTAAAGGATATAAGTAAATGTCAGCTTCCTTCCCATCTGGGTGGACATGATGAAGATGGTTGGCATTTGCACAGCAATTACGGAAGTAAATTTTATATCATCATTTCTATTGGGGGTATTCAGTTTTAAATCCACCTCCTTAATGTGACTGAGTCTGGCATTTTTAGTCATTCTTGAGCCAGATGAAGAAACTGAGGCATAAGTTCTCACAGGCGAACACTGGCAGAGGTGGAGCCCAGATACCCTGTGTCTTGGGAGCCTGACCCAGTAGGTGGCTGCCAGCATACTCAGGTTCTAGAACTTGCCTTTGGTTGTTCCAAGCACTCGAAATGTTAGGGCTATAAAACACCATCCGCTGCTCAAAAAAGGCATTTCAAAACCCTTCAATCATCATCTTCTTGAGATCACTCAGGAAACAGCATCTGGGCCCGCTGAACTACTTTTTGGTAATATTAACAGAGGCGGGACATCCAACATTCTCAGAAGCTTAAATCCTTTCCTGAGAAAGGATTCCCAGAACTCCTTAGGTTGCTAAAGAAGGGATTCTAGGATTCCACAGCAGTACTGTAAACGTTGAAGTGATTCTAATGGACGGCAGTATTTAACACCCACTTACTGCTCTTAAAAGTCCCCCCTCCCATGAAAGTTCCTTTAAAATTTACCTCCTTTAGGATCTATAACAGAAATCACCATTTTTTTTTTTTGTAGTTTACCACACTAAGCACATTCTTTTAATTAGGTGACAAATATCATGATTTCTATCATTTACAGAGAAAGCCTTTAAGACTGTTATAAAAATAATTCTGTCAAACAGTAAGGGGACTTTGTCTCTGAATGAAAGGGGCGAAGGACTTTTCCTTCTTGCTTTCAGGTGTCCTCATCAGCCACACACAAATCTCTAGTTTAGCTTTGTTCTGTGGTGGGGTTCCGGGCTCAGTGCTGGCCACACTGCTGTTGCCTGGTACACTAGCAGCGGCATCCTAGCTCCTAACAAGCCCTCTCCCAGCTGCTCTAACTTCAGTCACATTTCTTTACTCTCAGCAAAGTTCAAGCTTCATGGCTTCAAGCATTTACTTACCTTATCACAAAATTAGATTTAATTAGATATATACTGACTGTACCTTGAAGAATCTCATAGTTTGATATTCGTAAGATTTATATGAATGTGTTTAAATATGAAGTAGTATGTTACATTTAAACTTGTTTTTTTTTTCTTTTCTAGGATTTCAAGCACACAAAATCCTTCATAATTTAAAAGAATTCCACTTTTGAGATGCACCAAAACCACAGTTGTCACACAAGTTATTAAAATATTATAAATGTCTGCTTTGTCTTACAAAGAGATGGATAAGGAAATGAAAGTGGTAATTCCTCATAATTTTTATGACCTCTAACTCACATGAAATTGGTATTTTAAGCAAAATGTTCTTGCCACCACCTCAAATACAATCTGGCATCTTGTGTCTGAACTACAGAGAAATGAAATATCTGGTAACACTCTGAGTTTTGTGACATGCACATCAGTATCTTCAGTTTTAGAACTTAATGTATCACATTGAATGTGAAGCTAATCCAAGAGGCAGGAACACACTGCATGTGTTCTCCATGCAAGAATGGCTCCTGTGTTCAGAAAACACTGGAAAGAACAGAAACTCTGCTCTCAGAATTCCTACCAGAATCCTCCCTACCTCTGTGTAATCCTTATCCCGTGGCTCTTTGTCTCCAATCTATCTGTAAGGGAAGCCCAGGGCTGGGTCTTAGGCCCAGGGATTTGCACTTTCTGTTTACTTTCCTGTCTCAGAACCAAAAGCAACAGGAGTGGAGCTGCTAGCTGCTATTGCCATTTTCTGAGGCTCCTCTGGAGAGGCTCAGTGACCTGGACACCAGAACTCACAACGAAAACCGACAAAACTTCACAGACACTTTCCTGTGCACGAATGGTTGTCTCTAACAACAAAACTGAGCTGGGCTAGTCCCTCAGTGCTGCACGTAAAAGGCTGCCAGTCTGCCTATGACTAACAGGGACATGGCAAGGGAAGCATTTGCTCCATACTTAAAATGTGAATGAACAAGCTCGTTTTGACTCCTGGCATCTACAACCCGCTTGATACAGCAAAGACACATGAGAAACCATGGCTGAAATGAGACCTGGGTCTGTTTCTGAACTGATTAACCGCAAAGGCCACCAGCTAGTTAGTGTCAGAATATTAAATTCCCAGGGCTCAACAGTAAAAGCAGTCCTGTTTGGACTGGTTTACTCATATTAAAAACAAAATGCAACTGGGATGTCTAGTTCTGGGTAAATAAACATGAAAACATCATTTACTGCCTTTGTCAGCTTTGAATATGGACAAGTTGGCTTAAAATTTTTTGTTTGTTTGTTTTTCCTACCCAAAAGACAAAGCAGATTCTCAGGATTCACTGAATAAATGGAGTAGGTGGTCACTGAGTGCTTGGCAGTGACCTGGTCATGGGGGAAATGCCCACTGCCATACTGTGGCCTTGAACCCTTCTAGTAGACTCCTTACAGGTCTGACTCCTGTAAAATGGCTCAACCCTCAAGGTCAGATTCACTTAATGGAGCCAACAAACTCTACAAAGAAGACAGAACACATTTCAACCTACATGGTTCCTGATGAAACCACTCAACTCACACAGTGTAGCCTACAAGCAAGTAAGGTATGCCTCTGTTCCAAGAGATAGGGTCACAAAATCAGCAACAGAGATGCGATTTGCCCAGATACAAGCTCCTCACTCCTCATAGCAAATGACAGAGAATCACCTGTGGTGTATACGAAATCAGGGTGAATGTTCCCTATGCCACGACTGTCAGATGTGTCTTGGTAGGAGGAATGCTGTCCTCATGCAGTGCCAAGTAGATACAGAACTCTCAAGGATGCCTCTTCAGGCCCACACACAACACAAGACTAACTGCTTCAATTTAAGTGACACAAATCCACATTGTGAGAGGACAATTATGTAGTGCCTTAACTTCACTGATGAAAAGCTTCCTTTTGAGATTTATTTTATGCAGTGTAAAAACCTAACAAAGTCTGTTGCCAAATACCTATTCTGCATTCTTAACTGAACCACTGCCTACAGCTAAGCAGAAACCATTGTCTGAAGAAGGCTTTCCTCCACACCAAGGACGTGACTGTGCACATTAATTCTCTAGTGTACCTATGGCTCACTGCCATTTGGACTTGTCCATCTGTTTTATGAGACTTGAACTCTAACACTGTGTCAAATTGTAGTGTGTAGAGCATTTTGATTTTATTTTTCCACAGTGAAACTGTGGTGGGGTTCTAGAAACTATAGCCAGTTTTGTTTTAGTATGCTGCTGGTGTAACTAGATTCAGCTTATTTCTAGTTGGGATGAGGGTTAACTTAACGAAGTCTGGATGTTTATTTTTCAGTACTTTACAAAGAATTTCCTTCACTGTACAGCTCACTTTGTTTGATTAAAGTTCACATTACAAAAATAGCTACATACAGCTAAACTTTTTAGCCCCATTCAACAGAGCAGAGGAAGTCAGTTACCTATTGTTCAGTAAAACCCAGGAAACTCCTCCCTCTTAGCACCTGCAGCTGTAAGGCAGCTCTTTCAGTTTAAGATGAAAATCTCTTACCTCTCAGCTTGGATACCTGCCAACGTCTAAATTCAGAGAACAAAAGGGTAGACTCCTTATTGGATGCTTTACATACATCAGAGGTTGGGGATAGGGAAGTGCAAAATCTCATTCCTCTTCTAAGAGGAGCCTGTGCTTTTACAGTTGGTGGTTTTTTGGGTTTGCAGTGCCATTAATGGAGGAGGTGGGGTCTTTATACACGTCCAACTGATCCACAGTTCACACTTTTTCTGCATTTAAAATTTTCCAGTTCCTATACTTTCTCTTCATCCTCAGTAACCTCTGGCTCACCCACCCACCCTGGCTGGAAAACCTCTTTGTCCTCTATTCTCTACCATTCTGTTATGGTGGGACACAGCATCTCCATCCACTCTCATTTCCCTATCTCTGAATTGGTATTTTAAAACTTATCTTACAAAGTATGTAATTCCAAGCACACTTCATTTTGACTATCAACCCCCATCCCCCTTTCCTGCTACCCTAAAACCCTCAGTCGTCTCCCTTCCATTCTATCTTCCTCATACCCCTCTTAAGCCTCTATCTCATGGTCCTCTTCTACTTCCCTGGACTGAAGGCGTTTGTGTTTCTGAGCATAATCCTTTGCAGTTTCATTCATTTTCTGGCAATTTCATAGCTGAATAAAATTATCTGTTTTTAAGTGCTAAAGTTAGCCATCAACAATGTTATATGTAAATTCTAGCTGCAGAACCACCCCATCCCTAAATTTCTCCATCTTTAATCTCCTAATGATGCCATAAAAACCTGGCATCTCAGACTATCGTTATCCTCACCTTTTCTTTCTGGGGCCATAAGAACCTTTTAGTCACTCAATCTCCCCTATTCTGGTGCATCCTTTCCTAACCCCATTTCACAGTTTGCCTAAGGACTTTCATGCCCAATGACACTCCCCTCTCTTCTCCACTGACTAAACACTTTCACTCTTTACTTATTAAGCTTATAGTCCACAGCTGGGAACTAAAATGCTTCTCCTCCTCCTCCTTTATGCAGACGCTTTCATAACCCACCTAGTGAGCAACAACCCACTTTCTTGGCTGCGTTGTCACTCACCAATCAAAATGAACTGTGCATCTTCACAACTTACTCCACCTTTTGAATACATTTGTAACACTTCCCTTGGAAGGCTGGTCCTCATCACAAGCCATGGAAATTATCTACTCCCAACAGACAGGTCAAATTAAGCTGCTCTAGCACAGCCCTCTCTCATTTCCCAATTGCAAATTTCTTCTCTGAATTCTGAAGGCATTTGATTTTTTTGCGATTATTTATTGGTTTATGTTATAGTGTAGGTAGGTATGCACATGTCTGACACCTCTACCAACTGGAAACCCTGAGAAAAAAACTCATTTGTATAGGTCTTCATAAACCCCAAGGTATTTAATAGTGAACATGAAGATAGTTCCTAAAAATTCTGAATATCTGTGAGGCACAAAGAATGATTAATTGTGAGCATCTACTTAGAATATTAATAAAACATTATATTCTGATACAATTTAGTTTGTGTTCTATGAATTATTACTGTATGAATTAAGGATGGACAGAAATTATTTTCCTTTTAGCAATTAGTTGTTTATTTCCACACAATGAATTTTTATGTTTATAGGTGGTTTGCCTACATGCATGTCTGTGCAGCACATGTCAGCAAACATCAAGAGGGAGTCAGATGCCCTGGAAATGGTTGTAAACTTCCATATAAGTGCTGGGAATCAAACTCAAGTCCTCTGGAAGAGCAGCCAGCAGTCCTAGCCAACAAGTCTTAAATCTTTTTCATCTCTTGTTTCTTGTTCAGTAAGATCTGGAACATATTAGCAGTAATAATGGTAAAGAAATCTGAGGTGTCCCCTATCAGTGGACTTGGGGAGAGGAATAGGGGGGAAAAGAGGTATGGAGGGTGGGCTTGGGAAGAGACAAGGGATGGGGCCACAGCCAGGATACAAATTGAATAAATTGTAATAAATAATAATACTAACAAATAAATAAATTACAAAACAAAGAAAAATCTAAGGTGAGTCAGAAGCAGTGGCACACCCCTCTATTCCTAGCACTTGGGGAGACAGAGGCAGGTGGACTGCTCTGAGTTCAAGACCAGCCTGGTTTACAAAGCAAGTCCAGGACAGCTAGGTCTATAGAGAGAAATGTCTTGATTTGTTGCTCATATTTTTACCTCACTAAATTAAAAAAAAAAAATTGCAAAAACATACATCTTTTTACTTTCTACAAAGAAAACACTCTCACAATAATGAATAGTGTGTTAACAAAGGACCCATTTAATGTAAGACTAAAGGCACCTCCTTTTTTTTGCTTCCCTATGTAACCTTGGCTATCCTGGGTGAAGAGATTACAGGCATGCAACACTTGAGAGCAGCCTAAAGCTTTTTTCTTTAAAAAAAAAAAAAAAAAAAAAAGATTTATTTACTTATTATTTATAGTGTTCTGCCTGTATTTCTGCTTGCAGGCAGAAGAGGGCACCAGATCTCACTATAGATGGTTGTGAGCCACCATGTGGTTGCTGGGAATTGAACTCAGAACCTTTGGCAGAACAGCCAGTGCTCTTAACTTCTGAGCCATCTCTCCAGCCCCCCTAAAGCTACTTTCTAAAACCCATTTTATAATGATTTTCTACTTTTAATGCGGTACCTATAAATGTTTTTAAAGATATTAAAAAAAAAAATGTGCATGTTTTCATGATCTGTAGTTAACTATTGCTACTCAATTTCTGTTGTTTTGAGACAGGGTCTCAATATATAACCCAGGCTGGCCTTTAATTCCCAATCCTCCTGTCTTACCTCCCAATTACTGTAATTAGAGGAACATGCTACTATCTCATTTTATTCATTTTTAAACCTTTTCCTTCTAAAAGTATTCTACTACCACTGAATTACCTGAAGTAACTGAAGATCAAGAAAAGTGTATTTCTAGATTTCAGGATAACACACAGCAAAGAAATATTCATAAAGACATCCTCACATAATATCCTCTGTTGCTCAGAGACTCAAGTGTCACACTTTCTACAGAAAAGAATGACTGCACTGGGTATGAAAAGCCCTTTATTGCTTGAAGACAGTGCTACCTCCAGACTTCTAGCCCCCCACTCCTGCAGTCCACAGAAGCTTAAGTGTGCATGGCTGCATGAGTGATGGGAAGGAATGAGGAGAGAGACAGAAAACAGACGGAATTATAAGGAATCTTATTCTCCAATTTGTCCCCAAGGTAGATAAAAGTTTAATAAACCCATATAAAGACATGTCAAAGACACTGTCAGATAGAAGATGACATGGTTTCTTCCCTTTAAGAGGCTAACTTCGTTGAGTGACAACTACAGTTGCTAAAACTTTAATGTAAAAACCTCATCTGTCACATCCCCACAAAGGATTTTTAAATAGTCACATCTTTCAGAGCCTTTTTTTCCAAGTCACCCTCCCTCCTAAATGCACACATCTATTACCTTCAGCAAACGAGGGACACCAGTTAGTGACAGCAGTTAAGACAAAGCAGGTATTCCTGTGTATATGAAGTTTCAGAGTTCCTAAGAAAGCCACGACAATGGATATAAAGCCACTCCTTCAAGATGGTAAATATCACATCCTTCCCTTCACAGGAAACATTCCTTAGATGATGATCTCCACTAGCAGAGGACAGCACTGCACACTGGGAAGAGTCTAGTAGGGACGAGGCAATGTTACCCAATCTATCCAACATCTCCATCTGCTTCATTCTAACAAGATGAAAGGATTTAGAAACAACAAAAGCAAATCGATGCTAGGCACAGACTCCATATCACCAAAGAATTTAAAGGACAACTGATAACTGTGAAATGAACATTTATTTGAATTTTTAAAAATTAGTTGTACAACTAATTCGTGATTACCACATGATTTTATAATATTCCTCAGGACTGCGGTTTGTCGAGGAGTTCAAATTTGGGATCTAAAAGGAAGGAAAAATTTCAGGCTTAGCCATACTATAATAACAAGATTAGCTACAATGCTTGAAATTTACCAGTTTTAAGTTTATTTTTTAAGAAAACATCTGTTTTTAAACATATATAAGTAAACAACTGATCAACTTTCAATAGCTTTTGTGAGTGCAGCTGTCTATATATGTTGCATATATGGTGTTGTGTAACTAGACCAATCAAATGAGAAAGGTGTCATATAATTCACATGCTCTCCTGCACCAATGTAGAACAGTAATCTCAGTCATTTCCATGGTTGTAGGAACTTTAAATGCAATTGTCATTTAACTCCCAAACAATCAAAAACTCTTAAGGAAGAGATATAGCTCCCTGATAGAGTATTTCCATTAACAGATATAAAGATTCTAGTCCTCATCCTAGCATAAACATCCAAAAGAAAAACCACGTGAATATTCTCCACCTACAATAATCCCCCAAATTGAATTTGTGATTAGCCTTACCTTCAAACTTGAAGGTAGGAAATGTATTCATGTCCCCTTTACCAAACATCTGTTTAAGCTTGTAAAGCTCTTTGTCCAGCTCTTGCTGATACTCGGGGCCAATGTCAACAGGTCCTGCAGACGTCCTATTAAATGCATAAAGAAACTGATTTACACACAAGTTAAAACAGACAGATGTGTTTGGAGTACATGTGTTTGGGAAAGAAAACTTTAGAAAACTAATCTATCGGCATTTCAATTCAAATTAATTTAGAACAAGGTTTCAAAGATGAAGTAACTTAGAACAAATCTCTCACACTCAAGGTTGTTAACATCAAAGATACTAATCAGACTCTCTCAGGATCTGAGTTGCAGTATTTAGATAATAATGCAATCCACAGTAAGAACAAAAACAAACAAACAAACAAAAAAAAACACAAACCAATAAAACAAAAATGCCCAGCAAAACCCAGACCATTGGAGGCCTAAAATGCTAAGCCAGGGAGCTCCTAAATAATAAAATGCCCAAGTGGTTGGAGAAATGGCTCAACGGTTTGAAACACTTGCTGCTCTTGCAGAGGACTCAGGTTATGTCCCCATTACCCACACAGCAGGCTCAAAACCATCCATTAACACCAGTTCCAGAGGACCTAACACTCTCTTTTGACCTTCCAAGAACCAGGTGCACAAGTGCACACACACAGGCAAAACACTCATACACATTATAAAATAACAAAAGAGCTAATTATTACAAATACACGGTTTCTCAAGCTGTGTATTGTTTGCATATATGCATGTTATATGCACATATGAACACCAAAGATAGATTACACAGTACTTTATTAACTTAACAAATTTTAAATGCTAATGAAAAAGGAACGACAGCTGTGGAGAGACATTGGATAACAGGAAAAAACTGCTGAATTAAATCAGCCTGTGTATTTTTAAATATGTGTGTTAGGCACAACCATATCAAACAAGAAACAGGGTCTTACAGTTCACAATGCGATTAAATATCCTGCAACAGGATGTTCCTCTCTCTCTCTCTGCTAATGCTCAACTATAGGCAAACACTGCTGTGGCTACTGCATCTGGCTTTCTACAGAGATGCTGGGAAACCTAACTCTGTTCCCTCTTTACTATGTAGCAAGCACTTTTCCAACTAAACCATCTTCCAGGTCCTCAAGACTTTTAATGACTGCATAGTTAGTTACCTTTAGAATTCCAAAATAATCATCCGGCATTGAAGCTTCAATCAGGTGGGTCCAACCTTTGACATTAGGGTCACTATGTTATGATGAAAGACCATGACCAACGCAGCTTAGGAGGAAAGTATATGTTTCCATCTACTGTTCATCATCAAACAGAGGGAGAATAGGGACTCAAGCAGTCAGGAACCTGGAGGCAGGGGCTGATTCAAAGCCACAAATGGGTGCTGCTTACTGACTTGTTCCACATGGCTGGCTCAGGCTGCTTTCTCACAGAATGGACAAGTTCCCGTCCAGGGGTGGCCCACAACACAATGGTCTGGGCTCTTCCACATCAATCACCAATTTAGAAGATGCCTTACAAACTTGCCTATGTTCCTACCTTCTTATGGACACATTTTCTCAATTGAGACTTACCTCTTCTCTGATGACTCAACTGTGTCAGATTGACATACAGCCAACCAGTGTAACAGTGAACTTGACATTGTCATCTACAAATTTCATACTCAAAAACGGTGCATACTCCTCCCATGCCTTATACCTCTGGGATCAAAAGTGTATAATTCTCCAAGCAAATTTTGTGCATTCTAGTTTTCTTACCTTATCTGACATCATTTTTCTATCCTAAAAAGCATAATAGTCTTAATCCATTTACCTGTCCAGTCTTTAAAACAACTCTTCTTAACTTGGTATAGAATCCTGGGTGTATCTTCCAAAGATAAGAACTAGGCATTAGCAAAATAATGAGTAAATTCTTTTTTTTCTTTTTACACTGGGGAGATGATTTATAGATGCCATGAAACACTCAAAAGGGTAGAATGACACCAAACATTGCCTTTAAAGCCCTACCATGAACTTTTCCAAAATCCCAAAATGTCTCCAGCTAGGAAGGAGTGTTTTTTTCCTTCCAAATCTCAAAACACTGGATGTCACCTTGCACCTAACCACTTTCCTTATATTTACTTGCTTATAAGCTTTGTACTTCTATCAAGTTTTAAGAATCTGCATTTTGGAATCAAATAATCTGGTCCCAGGGGTCTTTTCTGAGACTGATACTCCAACCATGGACCACGCATGATGATAACCTAGAACACCTGCGCAGATGCAGCTCAGTGTCCAAGGGGGTTCCCTAGTAAGGGAACAGGGACTGTCTCTGACACAAACTCAGTGACTAGCTCTTTGATCACCTCCCTGAGAAGGGAACAGCCTTACCAGGTCACAGAGGAAAACAATACAGCCAATCCTGATGAGTATTTCTATACCAGGATCAGATGGAAGGGGAGGACCACCTCCCTTATCAGCGGACTTGGAGAGAGGAATGGGAGGAGAAGAGTGAGGGAGGGTGGGTTTGGGAAAGGAACAAGGGAGGGGTTACAGCTGGGATACAAAGTGAATAAATTTTAATTAATTAATAATAATAAAATCCCTACACTTTGTAAAAGCATAACATAGGCCATATCAGTTAGCCTTCATGTTCTTTGTATTTTTCTAATTTTTATTTTATTTTTATTAATTACAGTTTATTCACTTTGTATCCCAGCTGTAGCATCCTCCCCATCCCCTTTCAATCCCACTCTCCCTTTCTCTTCTTTCATGTTCTTTGTAAATAACAGGTGACTAAATAAAAGAATTATACACATGCATATCATTTTCCTAAGATTTAGGGGCTAAATCGAATGATGGATATATTCATCTCAAATATTCAGTCTTCCAAGTCTTACTTCATAGCACTTTGAGTCTTTTGTTCTTTGATACTTCCAGAGCTACATCACCATGAAAACAGCTTTAAAAAGAAAGATGCTGTTTGTGCACATCCCTCAAATTACCTTATCACTTTACCAACTCAACTCTCTTAAGGCCTAAAATGAGAGGTGGAATACTCTGACTGTGTTCTTAGTTTTATGATGTTAAGCTATCAATGTCTAAGGCACATAATTTTCTTGAATAACCACTAAATGGCTTCAAGATCCTGTGTGCTTCTCTGACTTGACTTATTTCACTGTAATGACATTATTGTGGCAACTGGCTTACTGGAACTGTCCCTTGGAGCCTTTGTAAAGAAGACACTATTAGCACTTACATCTTGAAATTTACATACTCTGATACTTATAGTCACAAATGTGCTTCATCATCTACCCACTTACTGTCGTTTTGATTTGTACTCTCTTATCTTGTCCACGAAGAGTTTCTGTACAGGGTCAAGTTCCTTATTAAATGCCACTGCTGTAACACCAATGTTCCTCCTCAAATGCACGGAGACTGCTGAACGAAGGACAGAGGAGAGCCTGAAGATCCTCTGAAGAATCATGGTGAGTCTCTGGTTTATTAGACAAGCAAGAGAAAGTTAGTGTACTTTTTATAAACAACTCAAATACATTAGGTAGTGAGAACCTAAATGGATGAATTAGGTTACAGAACTACATTACACCAGAATTCAGGCTATGTCTGGCCAATCATGTGACCCTTCCATTACAAGGCCCTTGCTTTTTACCAAAAGACTGAGACCTAGAATTAGCTGAGAGTTCTACTATGATTAAAGCAGAAAGCAATCACAAATTATGGGGTGGTGCTTTTCCTCCCATGATCTGAGGAAAAAGTAGGTAGAGGCTGTTCAAGAACACTGCTTGTCTTCAGCAGGAAAAGACAATTTGCTCATAATATACCAGTTTTCCATGAACCCTCAGAGTAATATACCAGTTTTCCATGAACCCTCAGAGTCAAGACAGCTGTCTTAAACAGAATGTGAGAGGCTGGAAGTTTCTACCTCATACTACAAAAGGAAGGAAAACAGCTTTGCCTGCTAACAACGGCAGGATCCTGGCCACTTAACACTGTAACCAAATCAACTTCCAAAAGAAACAGCAAAGAAAAGCAGCAACATGCCAAGTAAACTCTGTTGGAATCCAGAGATTAGATGATAAAAGCTCATCAGAGAAAGAGTTTGCAGGTCAAAGTCAAAAGTTTAAAAAGCACAGCTTAGATCCTTTCAAGTCCTCAGATCTGAAGCTAAAACAAGTAATTGTCTAGCAGAACATGTTAATAGATACATCAAACAAGAAGATAATTCTTGTTGGGACCTGAGTTAGGTAGAGATTTAAAGTTCAAATGCAAAACCAAATTACAAAAAAATAAATCCAAGCATGAAGTCCAAAAGTAAGAGAAGAGATAGGGAGACTGAAACTTAGCAGAAGAAAAATTTCTCCAGATCAGGCTCAACAAACCTTAGTGAAATAGCAACAGAAGAGCCTCATTTCAATAGATAGCTTCATAACATTTCTTTTTTCCTTCCTGTGTGTGTGTTTTCTTTTCTTTTCTTTTTTTGTCCCAGAGACAGCATCTCTCTGTGCCACCCTTCCTGTCCTGGCACTCACTCTGTAGACCAGGCTGGCCTCAAAATCACAGAGATCTGCCAGGGTCTGCCTCCTGAGTGCTGGGATTAAAGGAGTGTGCCACCACCAGCTGCCTTTGTATAACCCCTCTCCCACCCCACATCTATCTAATACACACTGTGCTATAGTATGCTGTCTTACACTCAATGCTTCTCATACTGTCAGTGATAAAGGGCCACTGGAACCCTGAGGAAAGTCTGCAATGCCAACATGCTTCCTATCACTTAACAGATCTGTTATCTGTATCTGCTCGCTGACACCTGACATCTACCCAAGTGTGAGAGGACCCCTGGTAGTAAGCATATTGCTACTAGTTTATGTTAACAGAGAAATTAGAAACAAGGACTGAAATATCTAATTTGACAAATTTTGTGTCTTGAATTTAATAATAACAACAATTACAAAAGTGGTGGTAGTAGAGGGAGCATTTGATTCCCAGAGCCTATGATTGTTCCATTTTGTTTGTTTTTAAAGCCAGGATTGGCAGCACGCTTATAACGCCAGCACTGAGGAAGCAGACACAGGCAGATCTTTGGGGCTCACTTTAACCTAGTCTTCTTGGCAAGTCCTTGGATACGACTGACCCTGTCTCAAAGAGCAATGTGCATAGCACCTGAAGAGTTAACAGCCGAGGCTGACCTCAGGCCACCAGAGAAACAGGTGCAGAAATGTCCACACATACACATGCACCTACATAAACACATAATGGATACTCATGGATAGACAGGTAGAATTGCATAGAGGGGTTTGAGGGTTCAAGAATCATTAACTACAAGTGCAATGGTTGCTAAACTTATGTGAAAGGACAAAGGAGTAATTTTATCTCCAAAGGCACATTTGCCGTCTGAAGACAATTTTGTTTGTCCTGAATAGGTTGAATGCAGGTGGCCTCTAGTGGGTAAGACATCAGGCACACTGCTATACTCCCTAAACATGAAAAATAACCCTCTTCACTCTCATTTCAATAAGTTATCTAGACTGAAGTATCAATAGTACCAACTGCAACAAACACTGTAATAATATTTAGTACTGCTCAAAGAAATCAAATAAGCAGTGAGTTATCATTCACCAATGAAAACAAAACACTTGAAGAAATCAAAGACTGATTAATGTGTCACTCATATAATCTACCAAAGAATTATATAGGTGAAAGGAATAAAAGCAAACAAATAAGACCTTATAATAAGAAAACACCACCCACCTCAATGTCTGTTCTCTTTTCTGGAAATCTAGGAACACACTTAACAAATATCAGTAAGATAGCAACACTTGTTTAACCCTAAAAATTTTGTAAAAATACTTCTTTTTGTTTGTTATTATTGTTTCTCAAGGAAGGGTTTCTCTGTGTAGCCTTGGCTGTCTTGGACTCACTTTGTAGACAGGCTGGCCTCAATGCAGAGATCCGCCTGCTTCTGCCTACCGCCACCACCCATTGTGGAAATACTCTTTAAAGAGTTAGGGGAAGTTGCTCTTTGTCTTGTTTAGAGATGGTAAAAACTCTGCCTAATGTTAGTGGTTACCCAACATTCTACAGTCAACCTACTGCCAATCTGACAGCAAAGATTGTCATTTCTTTCACAAGATAGGCAAAACACATTTTCACTTTTCAATAAGGTATCATGAATGAGATTTCCAATTCTCATTTCCAATTTATATCCTATTTCAACCCAAAACACACGTGTATTCGCCTCTAAATCCTACACCCCCCAAAAAAACCACTCTTTTAACAAAACTACTGTTGCTTCTCCTCTACTGCTTTCACTTTTTCAGATAAAACAGTGTTCACTAAACTGTTCACTATCATACAGAAAACAAATGACAAATTCTACACTTAAGTAATATCTGGTGATAGCTGCCTGTTAGGGGTCTGATTATTAAAATATTGGGGAAGGCATCTGGAAAAAAATCAGAAGTTCAAACCAAGAGTATTGTATAGCCTTGGGAAGCAGCATGGCTCTCCTATTCATAGCGATGACCGAGGAGCCCAGCCAAAAGCTAGACGTTTGCTGTCTGTTAGCATCTGATCATGAAGTCAACCTACAAATCTGGTTTAGCGCCTTCGCTTCTATATTAGATGCAAACTTTTAGGACATCACTACTGCCCTTTCTGTCTTGGGAGTCATGACCTGCTCGTGCAAAATTCACAAGCTTCTTTCCCGTGCCTTGACCTTGGGTTGTCCCAGGGGGACCGGAGGCACATCAGCCCGCCTTTTTGCTTTCGTGTTGGCCAGTTCTCCTCCCAAAGGGTATTACCGGTCTTATTTATTGGGTATAAGGCAAACCTTAATACCCAGCAGGGCCGAGGTCAACCCGTGACCCCAGGCCAGGTCGTGAAGTTGCCAAGGACACACAGCTGCTCTCTCCTACTAGGGGAGAGGTGATGGGCTGCCCTTGCCCCGTGAAGAAACCCAGGACCGCGGTCCCAAGAGGACAAGCTAGCCTAGTTACCCTCCCAGTCACCTTGCGCTGAGTCCCGAGCTGCCAGAGTCGCAGCCGCCGCCGCCGTTCTACTTCCGGCCCTGGCTCCGCCTACACACGCCTACCCGCCGTCGCAATGCATTATGGGCTACCGCTTCAGTCGTTCGACGCTCACCGGACAGGAAGCGCCTCCGATAGAGTCTGCGACCGGACGCCTCTGGGTGAGACAGAAGCCAAACAGGAGGAGGAAGTGGAGGGTTAGTGCTTCCGGGTCCCTCTACTAAATTTCCGCCATCTTTCCTTCACTTAACTTCGCCCCTTTTCCCCCTCTTGAAAAACACTGCACTGTACGCATGCGTACTTTGGCCTCTCTCCTAGTTCAAGCTCCTCTCCGATTCAGCGTCTCGATCCCGGGGCTGGGGAAGGTGGATGCAGTGTCGGGGAAGGCGAGCTCGTAAAACTACGCGGCTTGAGGCGTTTGTGCCTCGCGAGCCCCCGTTGCCGCGGTAGTTCGTGTCGCGCACCCTGCTGGGAGTTGTAGTTCCGGGCCCAGGGGTGTCTGGGAGGCGGGAGAGGGGCTGGGGTTTCTTAGCGCCGATTCCGCGGGAAGGGCCCCGGGGCCTCACACTGCGAGTCGCGGGAGCGGCGCGCCTTACCCGGAGGGCAGCTGTACGTGGAGCCCGCGCCGCCGCCGTTTCCAGCCGGCTGTGGAGCGCGGGCGAGGGCCACGCGGCGGATTCCGGCGCTGGTGAGTGCGGCCGCGGGCCGGCGGGGAGCGCGGGCCCGCGCGGCAGGCCTGGTTCCGGGGCTTCCCCCGCCGCGGCCCCCCCGCGGCCGCCTCTGTGTTTTGTTTCCGCTGGTCCCCGGCGCTGTGACTCCCATTTCCGTTCGTGGAGACTTGAGGGAGCCGGGTGGGGAGGGGCGGGAGAGGCTGTGCGGGGAGCCGAGGGGAGGGGCGCGGGGAGCGGCATGCCCGGGCCGCGCTGCGGGACGCTGCGGACTCGCCCGTCGCCGGGCGCGGTCCAGCCTCCGCGTGCTGCCTCCCCCGAGTCCGGGCGCCGCCGGGCCTCTAGGAGATGCCATTCCAGTCTGACCCGACTCAGCGGTCCCCGCACTCCAGATCCACCCCCACTCCTTGGCACTCTCTCAGAATCCTACCATTGCCATACTAATCCATGTGAGGACTTCTTTCACCGAAAAGTCAGAGAAAGTTAATACAGCTTGCCAGCTTTTTTTTTTTTTCTATTTTGTCTTTGGTGTAGTGCACCAACGTAGTGAACACAACGGTGGTGTTTAGGGATTCCACCCTTAGGATCAATAGAGTACAGAGTGGTGTCAGTGCACCAGTTCAAGATGATGAGTAGTCTTTTGACAGTACATCCCGAGGTAGGCCATTGAGATGGTTCGACAGGTAAGGGCACTTGCTGCCAAGACTGAGTGCAACCCTTGGGACTCACGTGGCAGAAAGAACTTAGAGCCACACGTGCGCACGCGCACATTACACGTGTATTTGTGTGTGGAGGTCACACTAGCCAGGCTGACCTGGAACTTGCTATGTAGACTAGGCCGGCCTAGAGTTTATCTGCCTGTTTTCTGAGCGCTGGCATTAAAGGTGTGCATCATATGTCTGGCAATAAGTGCAATTTTAAAAATCACAGATGTAGATTGAACTAATGATAGGTCTGACTGCTGGTAAATATTTGTACAGATTCACCATTTTCACGTTCTTAGCAACCCCTTACCCTTACTCCACCTCATTAGCATGTTCCCCCATCTGTATGCATACCTAGATGCTAACTGGATTTAAGATAATTTTTACCTTTACTGTTAGTACAGAATTACATCTTGTAGGGAATTAAGTACTAAGTGAGGTGTTAAGTTGGAGGAATCAGGAGAGGCAAAGTACTGAATTAACAGGGTCACCTGAGTCTCTGGCACCTATAAAACAGCTCTACAGTTCTGAAAAGAAAAATAATAGTTTTGAAAACCCATATGCTCTTCACCTGAATGAGGTCATCAGTTTTTAACTATTTGTTTGTTTGTTTATTTGAGGTGGGGGGTTCTCTGTGTAGGCTTGGCTGTACTGCACTCCCTTTGTAGACCAGGCTAGCCTGGAAACTCACAGTGATCCAACTGCCTGTCTTCCTGAGTGCTGGGACTAAAGGCATGCGCAACCATGCCCGGCTAGTTCTTTAATTTTTAATCAGATTTGGCTTTTGCTTGATAGGCACACAAATCACACAAAACAGATGTATGTGCTGTCCTTTTCTTAATGTTGATGCTATTTTCTTGGAAATACACAATACAACATGAATAATTAGTTTTAAATTTATTTTGGAATGATTTGCACCTGTGTATTTCTTCATACCCTGAAATCTTTTCATTTTCTTTGTGTGAATTTCCTTTTTCTGTGCTATGCTTCGCTAACTTTGGTAGTGTGTCCAATTTTTTTTTTCTCTTTTTGGTCATCAATTAACTGAAGGGTTGGTCTATCCTGCTGTATAGTCCTTTGCCACTTTCAGGTGCTGTAGAAACTTTTCTGTAACTGTAACTTGTGCATTAAACAAGAATTTTAATCTTTATGTTATCAAATCAGATTTTAGCTAGACAGTTGTAATCCATCTCTATGCTAAACTGCAGGTTTGTATCCAGTTTGCTTTAGTATAGTTGATGTATCTTTCAATTGCTTTTGTAGTGACTTGAATTAATTTACTGCCTTAGACTGGGCCAACAAGTTCCAATAATTAGAGTAATAAAATCATCACATCAGGCTAATAAAGGCCACTTTAAACAAAAACTAGCCTCTAAATGCTATGTGTGAGCTTCTATGTCTATAGGGTACCTCTTCCTCTTCTGCTTTAATTCAGTTTTAGTCTCTTTCTTGAATATCATTTTTGTTCCTGTAGATGATGTTTAAAACTCTCTTAAAATTTAACTCTTCCAGGTCTGAACTTTTGAAGTACTTCAACCATGACTAAGAGAGAAGCAGAGGAACTGATAGAAATTGAGATCGATGGGACTGAGAAACCAGAGTGCACAGAAGAAAGGTCAACACTTTTAATTGATTAGTTTTTAATATTACTGGTATTCCAAGTTAATAGTTAAGGACCAGGCCTCTATATGGCAGGAAATGAGATAATATACTAAAGCTAATTGGGATTGGTAGGTCATGGAGGGGTTCTGTATAGCAGCAAAAGACAGGCCAGGATAACTTACATTTAGAGGATATTAGTGGAGAAGACAGCTGAAGTGTAAAACTTCAGGGTCTAAGAGAGCTTTCAAGCATTTGTCTTTTACTGCAGAAAGAATAGAATGTATGTTCTAGATAGATAGATAGATAGATAGATAGATAGATAGATAGATGCAGAAAAAAGAATAGAATGCATGTTTCTCTTAGGTAGATAGATAGATAGATAGATAGATAGATAGATAGATAATTATGCCAAAATCTAGCAACTTAGTTAAATGAGCACTTTGACCAACATGAAAAGGTTTATTACTGAAGCTTGTTTTAGAGAGTCAGGAACACTGGGGGCTTTTGACTTCAAGAGCTTATAGTTGTCAATCTGGTCTACAGTCACCTAAGACTGATGTGGAGTTATAGTATCTGCCCCAGAGATCACTCTTGATACTGTTGGCAGGAAGCCTCCATGTGCCTAGTGAGCCTTTCTCTAGGGCTTTACAGATGGTCTGAGAGGGTATAGGGTAGAAACTACTGTGGCTCTTACATAACTCAACCTAAAAAACCTTAGTCTTTTAGTCACACACCTCAGCTGTTGCTCAGGTCGGGGAAAGAGCTACAGAATTGGAGTCTAGCGTGCATGTTTATGTACACACTCAATGATCCACAGAACACAGAAAGGATTTACCACAGGTCCTTCTCAGGTGTCTTGGTAGGAGAGTAATTGTTACCATGGGGATCAGTGTGTAAAGAAGGCCAAAGGTGTCCAGCTATAGCAGCTGTTGCTTTGCTTTATAGGAACTGAGAAACAATAGTGTGACATCATCCACATCCCTTCAAAACAAAACTGTTTATTCAGACTTTCAGATTTCCCGAGGTTTAGATCTTGAAAAACTTAGTATTCCCTATTCATACAGAAGTGAAAATTTATATTCTGTTTTAAAGTAGCTTTTGGATCTTTTAAAAATCATTATTACTAAAAAGGATAGGCTGCTGTGCTTATAGCCAAAAATACACCAGAAGTGTTCACTGAGTAAGCCAAACAAAACAAAAAATTTTACATTAACCAAAATTAATAGTACTCTTATTTTAAGGTAGTATTATCATGAGTGAGTCTGTTTTATAAATGTTAAATGTTTTAAGAAAATGTATAAGAGGGGCCTATGCCGGGATACAAAGTTGACTCAATTGTAATAAATAATAATTTTAAAATGTGATGTATATATTCGCTAAATATTGCATGTGTCATTATACTTGGAAATGTGTGAAAATAAAATGACAAATTGTATATGTGGGCACACTCATGCACTTGTACATGTTTGTGTTGATGGGGAGCCTGCATGCTACTGCATGCATGGGGAGGTCAGAGGCCAGCCTCTGGTATTGGTCCTCATCGTCCAGCTTATTTAGACAGGATCTCTCGTGTTTGCTGTTGTATAGGCCCACCCAAGGTATGTGTCTTGAGTGTGAGTGTATGTGGGTGAGTTTACGTGCCAGCAGAGGCAAATGTATCAAATCATCATGGAACTAGAGTTCATGTGGATGTGAGCCACCTGCAATCAAGTCTTGTCCTCAAGTGCTCTTAACCACTGAAGTATCTCTCCAGTCCCCACTTCACTTAGTTTTAATACATATTTTTGATAACTCTAAAGAGGTTTAAGTCATATTTAAAGTAAGTATTTTTTCAGTTTTCTCTTTGCTGGCCTGTAAGCAATTACAAAGAATATGTACAATTACTTACCAAAGCTTCAAACCTATTTGAATTGTGAAATAACAATACACAAGAGGTCCTAAGTAAGTTTTAAGGGGCATTATACTTTAAGAATAATATGGAGTAAGGCTAATATTAATAATTGTTTAGTATTTAGATTAAGCTGCAAGCATTTGATTTATATTACATTTATCAATTTATATTACTAGATTATATTGGGAAGGAAATTGATTAGTAGAAATGATAAATTCTGGTTTGTTTTGGTTTAGTTTTGACATGGGGGCTCATATAGCCTAGGCTGGTTTATATTTCTCTATGGAACTGGGGATAGTGGATGACCTTGAACTCCCCATCCTCTTGCCTCTACTTTCTAAGTGCTTGGGCCACCATCCCAACAAATTGTGCAGTTTCTAAGGACACAATGTATTGTCATGTTTCTGGGCTGTAAAATTCTTGAAAATGACTGAAGATGTAATTTAAAGGCACATGTTTTCCCTTCAGTAGGGTATGTCTTGTATTTATGTGCTGGAATGTACATTTGTATGCTTAACTAAGCATGTTTTCAAGAGTGCTTTAAGTTTCAAATTAGCTATGAAATTTAGTATTTATATTGAGAACACTAGCTGATGAGTCTAGCACAGTATCAAAGAAGAAATGAATTCAGACATAGTAAGGAGAGAAAAGAATATCAAAGATGATGTGAGGTTTGGTATATTTTGTTTTGAGCATAGGTTTAACCTTTACATTGGGGTAACGTAGTTATTAACCTTTATTTCCCTTAACATATAGCATTGTGGAACAAACCTATGCCCCAGCTGAATGTGTAAGCCAAGCCATAGACATCAATGAACCAATAGGCAATTTAAAGAAACTACTAGAACCGAGACTGCAGTGTTCTTTGGACGCTCATGAAATTTGCCTACAGGATATTCAGGTAAGATTTATCTCTATTGATATCTATAAATGGACTTAACCTATGTTATAAAATTTGAGCATTTAGAAATAATTCTTCCAGCAAATTTCCTGAACCTAAAATTTAAAAGATTGAGCAATAAAATTGAAATGAATGAATCATAAATCATTTTCACTTTATGAGTACGAAATGAAATAAAATTAAATATAGAAATCAAATTAAAACTGTAGTAGTGGGAAGAACATTGACCCTGGAGAATAAAAAATTTGTGCTGACTGACATTTGCTTTTATGTGAGTTTTCTTACCTTTAAAACAAGATCCCTTGACTAAATTGTTTTTATTTCCTTTCCATTTTCTCTGGTAGTAAATTTTAAATATCAGTTGCTGTTTCTTAGCATTAGCTGCAGTAGGATTTCTCATTGTAGTATTATAGCATATTTAAAGCAGCCTCACAGACTTGTACGTTTTTCCAGGAGGTAATACTTTAATGTATAAGAAGTAGTAGTAGCCTTAATAGGATCACTGGAATAGTTTTCCATGACTTTTCTTAAACTCACAAGTATGTACTGGCATCTATATACTTTTCTTCCGTTAATATACAAATGTATATTTTGTCATCTGAGTTGTTTGCTTTGCTTTGTTCTGTACTGTCTGTAATCCTCCTGCCTGTCTTGTACAATTTTTTCATTATTACAGAGCTTTACCTTGTTATTTTTACAATTCAAATCCTTTGCAGTTACTATTAAACAATATTCTGTTATAAAGTAAATTGAAATGTTAATGGAATTTGTGTATTACTTACCATTAGCCATATTTTAATCTTTTTTTTCAATGTATGTCTAGTGAATGTTAATGGTGATTGGATATTGCTCTTCTAAAATTAAGGACTATGGTTGAATGTACTTAAAACAACATGTTAAGTTTCTTCTTAGAAGTGAAAAGATAAGTTAACATGGTCTTTTGAAAGCAATTGATATTTAGTATCTTATTAGAAGTGTAAAATAACAGTTCCACATCAAGGAATTGTTCCTGTGTGATGGCAATGGTATATTTATAAAGATCTTTATTCATGTTTTTGTAGACAGTTGAAAACAAGTCTTTTAAAACCAGAATTTCAAGTCAAAAATTCAGAATTCAAATTAGTCTCTAAAAGTGGTAAACTATAACTCTTAGAACAGAATGTATCCAAATGATCCTATTGAATCATATCAATCTTTAAAAATCACCATTTTATTAGTTATAATCTACAGTGATGGAAGGAGTACCTGTTTTAGCCATAATGAAAGAGGGCCTACAAAGGAGTTTCTCAGTAAGCATTTTCTGGATAAATGGACGTATGTATAAATCATTAGCCTGAGATCTGTGCTTGGATCAATAGGCATTTCCCAGCTCTTCAAGCACCTTTTCTCATCTGAACAAGGAATGTGAGCATGGCAGCTTCTGTTACTGATGTCAATGCAAGCATGCATTTGGCATTGGGGTGCCTGCTGCTTCTGGGAGTACCTTTATCATCAGATAAATGCTTACTTGAAACCTGCTGGAACAAACAGTCACTGAGTTTTTGTTCTTTAAAGAATATACTACACAATGAACCATGCTGGAGCCTTGTCCTTGTTTGTCCTTGTCTTAGTGTGCTGCTGTGTTTAGGACCCGAGAGCGTAACTTTTCAAGATATATAACATTGGCCATAGCTTCTAGTGGGTAATGCTAGTGTCCTTTAGACACAGAGGAAAATCTTGGTGTTAAGAGAATTAAATGTCAGGCAAAGATTTACATTAAGAAGTAGAAACTACCACATATAGTCAATCCAGTATGTTACAGTTTGTTTTGTTCCTGCTCAGGTTGGATATGAAGTCCACTTAGTACTGTTGGTTTTATGTATAAGGCAGTGTAAATAATTGAAATTGTGATTGTACCATGACTGAATTCTTGATAGTGAAAGGAGATTACATGTTCAACAGTATGTATGCACACTATGATGGAAGCCTGTTCCAAGCTAGTAATATAATATTAGAAGTCAAAATTATTTTAGTTTAATTCCATTAGTAAGCCATGGTAGAGAGTGCATTCACTAGAAGGAGATATGAAGGAAAAAGAAAAATATTTTGGGTTGGTTTGGGGTTTTCGTGTTTGTTTGTTTGTTTGTTTGTTTGTTGAGACAGGGTTTCTCTGTAGCCTTGGCTGTTCTGAACTCACTTCGTAGACCAGGCTGGCCTTAAACTCAGAGATCTGCTGGCCTCTGCCTCCCTGAGTGCTAGACTTAAAGGCATGTGCCACCATGCGCAGCTGAAAAGAGCACGATTGTTCCAAGAATATGGAATTATGACAAAAATAGATCCAGTATTCAGGACATCAGTCCTTTAATTTTAATAACTTTGTGTCCAGAGATTTAGAGTGAATCCTTAGTTTTAATATGTGACATTAGTTACCTGGGAGATAAGACATGATTATGTTAGTAAACTTAAGTAAACTGGCAGCCACTAGTTAACATCTTCCTTATGATAAACATTGCATTATTTTTTACTTTAAATGCATGCACAGAATGAAGAGTTACCTATTTGCATTATTTCAGGTCCAAGCTGAGCTTGCAGAGCTCCCAAAGAACACTGCCATGTGAGATAATTTTGCAATGGCAGGGAATGGCTGCAGAATGTCTGCCTGTAGAACTACAGTCTACACCAAATATAGAAAAATTAATTTGGTGGGATTTTGCTGTCCTCTATTACTTCCTCAATGGTGAAAATGTTTTTAGTTTTAGCAAATAAGTAATGTGACAACTTTGATAATTAAATACACTTTTATAATTTAATTAGTATGCTCAGAAATTAGGCCCATTTGTTATACTGATATACTAAACCATCATAAACCATCAACAGTAACTGAGCTAAAATAATCTTGTTTATCTATGTTTAGCTGGATCCAGAACGAAGCTTGTTTGACCAAGGAGTGAAAACAGATGGGACTGTACAGCTTAGTGTACAGGTAATTTCTTACCAAGGTAAGTTACTTTCATTGACAAGTGTTTAAAATTTAACTTATGTTTTTATGATAAGATAGCTTAAATTTATTTGTTAAAGGTTTTTTAGATGAGTATCCATATGATTTGCATGATTTTATACTCACACTTTTGTTAAGTAGTTGTATCTGTCAGGGTAAAACTGAAAGTATAGCACATTGCACATAAATTAGATAGTGGTGCATACGAAACTGCAATAAATAGCAGAATCACATCATAAAGAGCTGGATTTTTCAAACATTTTATTCTCTGAGAATTTCGTTGTATTTTATCATATTCATTCCCATTCTGTAACAATTTATAATAAATGCTATATTTTTTTACAGCTGTATACCATTACTCTTAAGGTATAATTTTTTTCTGTGTACTTATTTATTACAATTTATTCACTTTGTATCCCAGCTGTAGCCCCTGCCCTTGTCCCCTTTCAATCCCACTCTCCCTCCCTGTGCTCCCCCCATTCTCCTCCCCCAGTCCACTGATAGGGGAAGTCCTCTTCCCCTTTCATCAGACACTAGCCCATCAGATCTTATCAGGACTGGCTGTGTTGTCTTTCTCTGTGGCCTGTTAAGGCTCCCCTCGGGGATATAATCAAAGCCTCTTTTCCCCTTACTAGGGAACCCACTTGGAGATTGAGATGCCATGGGCTACATCTGTACATCTGTTCTACGTTATCTCCATGCATGGTCCTTAGTTGGCGTATCAGTCTCAGAAAAGCCCTGTGTGCCCAGTTTTTTTGGTTCTGTTGCTCTCCTTGTGGAACTCCTTTTCCCTCCAGGTCTTTCAACTCCCCCTTCTTTCATAAGATTCCCTGTACTCTGCCCAAAGTTTGGCTATGAGTCTCAGCATCTGCTTCAATATTCTGCTTGGTAGAGTCTTCCAGAGGCCCTCTATAGTGGCTCCTGTCCTGTTCTCTGTTTGAGAAAGGGGAACCCTCCTCCATTGCTGGTGGGAATGTAAACTTATATAACCACTTTGGAATTCAATCTGGCACTTTCTCAGAAAATTAGGAATAGTGCTACCTCGAGATCAGCTATAACCATTCTAGGCATATATCCAAAATATGCTCAAGTACACAACAAGCACATTTGCTCAGCCATGTTCATAGCAGCTTTATTTGTAATAGCAAGAATCTGGAAACAACCCAGATGCCCCTCAACTGAGGAATGGATACAGAAATTGTGGTACATTTTACACAATGGAATACTACTCAGCATTTAAAAACAAGGAAATCATGAAATTTGCAGGCAAATGGTGGGAACTAGAAAAGATCATCTTAAGTGAGATGTCCCAGAAACACAAAGACACACATGGTATAGACTCACCTATAAGTGAATATTAGACATACAATATAGAATAAACATACTAAAATATGTATACCTAAAGAAGTGAAGCATGAAGGAGGACCCTAGGTAAATTGATCAATCCTCATTCAGAAAGGCAAACAGGATAGACATCGGAAGAGTATAATTTCTAAATATAATTCTGTTTTCTGAAAAAGCATTAAGTTTTTGCTTGACTAAATCTCCATTGAGGAGGCTCTGTAATGAGAAATCACCTCATTTTTATTTTTTCCTCTTCACAGAAACTACAGTTCTTAATATAGGGTTTGAATTTGTTTAGGATTTGGGTTAAGTGATAGGAGTTTGATTGAACAAAGTCAGACAATCTTTAGGGTCAGAAGATAGAGGGGTTGAGGAGATGGCTGTCTGTCAAGTTCTTACTGAGTGAGCATGAACACCTGAGAGTTCAGATTCCAAGCACCATGTGAAAAGTTGAACACAGTGGTGCTTACCTAGAATCCCAATGTAAGAGGTCAGAGAAAGGAAAATTCTTGTCGCTTGCTGACTATCCAGGCATATGAATTGGTAAGGTGCAGATTCAGTGAAACATCATGACTCAGAAAGTAAGTTGGAGAAAGATTAAGGAAGATGTCACATATGAACTCTTGATTTCCATGTGCATGCATACACCCATACACACGCACACGCGCACGCGCGCACACACACACACACACACACACACACACACACACACACACACACACCAGATAAAGTAAAAAGAAGGCAGCCAGCCAAAAGCAGTGGTTTGCAATCCTAGTACCTAAGAGGCAAATGCAGGGGGATAAGGAGTTTGGTATTTTGGTAAGCTCTGTAGTGAGTTTATGGCCAGCCTGCCTGTATTTGATGTTATTTATTTGGATGGGGTGTTCTCATTTTAATTTTCTTAGAAAGTTTGTAGAATCGTGAATGTATAGCTACTTATTTATGCACTCTCCTGTGGTTTCCAACTTTTTCAGTTCATGTCAGTACTTTACATTACTGTTATAAGAAGTGCCACTTTTTTTACCATCTGGTATTATATAGGTAATGCTTGTCAAGTTATATACTTAGGTACAATTTATTGTTAAAAACTTACAGCACTAGGTAAAGCATTTTTGGATAGTCTTTACATAGGTGTTAAATTTTATTATATTTGCTTTTATTTTTTTCTTCAAGCACATTTTTGTTTTTCAACTATTTCAAGATTAATTGCAGACGTAATTTTTTTCTATTTTATAAATAAATATCATCAGCACCTGTGTTTTCTTGATAACAGGGTCTTAGGTAGGCTGTGGATACAGCCCAGTGCTAGAGAACTTCCCTTGAATATGAGACTCTGTGTTTGATCTCTAGCACTTCAGTAAAAGAATGTTCATGCATTCTTCTATATAATCACTTTGTAATTACCAAAGCAAAAAGAATTAATGTTAACGTAGTACTGTCCCTGTTGAATTGTACTTATTGGCAATAAGGATATATTTACTTTCTCACTGTTTCAAGGACATCACTTTTTTCTTCTCTCATTTAGAAAAATAAACTTTTATTTCTTTGTGACTTGAGGTTTTATTTAAATTTATATTTTTGTTTCTCTTCACTGTTAGGAATTGAGCCAAAGTTAAACATTCTTGAAATTGTTAAAACGGCGGAAACGGTTGAAGTGGTCATTGATCCGGATGCTCACCATGCAGAAGCAGAAGCACACCTGGTTGAAGAAGCCCAAGTGATAACTCTTGACGGCACCAAGCATATCACAACCATTTCAGATGAGACCTCAGAGCAAGTGACAAGATGGGCTGCTGCACTGGAAGGCTATAGAAAAGAGCAGGAGCGCCTTGGGATCCCCTATGGTAATGAGACAGCTGTTGGTTCGGTGCAGTAAGAGTTAAATCTAGATGTACAAAACTCTACTGGGGTATGATAAAATGTTTTTTAATGTAGACTTTCTAGAAAGAATGTTGATTTTTTTTGATATATATATTTAGTTTTGACTTGTAACATACTAAGAACACATGATGAACAAATACTATGCTGATTGCTAGAATACAAAGAATTATTAGAAGAAATTTGGCCCTTAGCATGCTCACAGTGTAGTTGAAGAGAGGTGGGTGTCATAAAGTTTAAACTAATACAAGTAAAGCATGTCTTTAGAACCTCAAAGAAATCAAGCTGAATATTTTGAGGAATGCCAAATGGAGTTGATGCAGTTCATGAATTCAGGGCAAGCTTAGGCTTGTGTACCATGCCCTTTCTCAGAAAAACAAAATGTGGGCATCATAGTCTGAAGAAAGTGGGGGTGAGTTCATTCTGAGAGACTATGCTTCCATGAAACAGGAAACATTCAGAACAAAGCTTAGACTGGTATGGATGCAAGAGTACTTAGGATATATTGGATCAAGATTTATCTCTGACACTGTAGAACTGTTTTACATCATTGAAAGTGATAACTAAAAGAATGAATGTTGCCCATATGTCCCATAAGGCACATAGTGGCTGAGTGGAAAGAAAACAAGAGCATGTTCTTGTCATTTGTACAATAGTAATGCTGCCCAGATTTGCTTAGACTCGGTACTTTCTTTGGTAGTAAAATGGAAGAGAAAGGTGTAAACAGTGGTAAGGATGACAGATTGTGAACATGGAGAGAGGATATTCAAGTACTGACCTAACTTCTCAAGCTTGAGTGACGAGGACAATAGTCTTGAAACAAATCAGTTGTATCTTCATTAATGTGTTACTGTTTGCCTGGTACTATGTTAAATTCTGGACTAATGATGATACACAAGAACAGAGTATGCCTTTGATGACACAGTACTTAACCTTTATAGGACTAGCCTTAATACCTTATGCTTGCTGGGCAAGCATTTGACATCTAAACTAGATTCATAACCTTTGACAAATCTCTGAAAGTCTTTGAGGAAGTAGGGATGTCTGATAAACTCTATAATCAGTTTAGTTAAACTAGCCTTAACCTAGTTTCAGGAGCACAAATGTCAGACTGGAGATGAAGATACTCTGGAGTTCATTCATGCTGTGTTTGTATTTGAAGCTATAAAAGTAACAGTAGGTATTTGAGGACACCATGGAGAAGAACACTATTTCTAGCTCTAAGACTGTTCTTGTACGGCAGGGGAAAGAGAAAGAAAACAGGAAGGCACACAAATGCAAAGTGTAGTGGCATGCATTTTTAATTCAAGCATCCGGTGGCAGAGGTAGGCAGATCTCTGAGTTCCCAGCCAACCGGGGCTGCATAGTGAGACTCTGTCTCCAAAATGATGCCCCAAACCAATGGCACAGCTAAAAACAGAAGGAAATACTGTAGTAACACTGCTTGAGGGAGAGTTGTAGGTGGATAAGACTAGAGATGCTTTTGAGAAAGTCAAGAATACAAAGTAGCAGCTAGTTTGGTAATCATAGAAGTATTATCTAGAGTTAGATAAGCTGAATTATAAATTAACTACTCAGAAACAGAGAACTTGCATTAGAATTTTTTTTGAGGTAATAGAGAAGAAAAGTGTTAAGAAATAAGTTATCAGACAGATGGAGAGTTAGTGGTTTGCTTTTATCACTATTCCCTCAGTAGTAAGTACTCTACAGTGTTTGCATTGTATTGTGTGTTTTATTTAGACATGATTTAAATTATAGGCGTATATGCATCCTTTTTAAGCAAATACTCTACTGTTTTGTAGGAGGCAGTGTCTGAGAAATTTGGTATTCCTGAGGAGTAGCAGCCTCCTAGAACCAATTCCCCACATATACCAAGGGACAGCTTTATGCAATTCCATATTGTGGCATATAGGAATTTACCTTGGGCATGTGAAAGCTTGTATGGATAGTTTATTTGAGCTTTTTGACAGAAAGTTAGGACTCATCTGAGAAGGGGAGAAAGGGACATGAAAACTTAATATAACTACATGCAGTTCTTTGACTAATTTGTTGATAAATTCCAAGCAACACTGAAATATAATTAACTAGTTACAGCTACTTTAAATCTCTGAAATATTGACACACATTGGGAAATTCTCTACAGTTCATATTAATATAAACTTGTTTTCTATCTTGACAGCAGCTTAGACACTTCTTCATTCATGTGGTTATATGTGTAGATATTTTTTAGTATTGCCCTTTAATCTGAAGATGAAATTAATAACTGTAGTTAGAAATCTATCCAAAGAGATGGGCTATACAAAATATTAAAACTTTAATAAAAAAACTAATTCAGTGTCAAATATGTATTTTCCTTAATGAGATATGAATATTAAAATGATAGTCTATGTTTGATATTTTTAAGTATTTTTTAAAAATTATTGGTTTTGCCAAATACTAACACCTAAGAACATATGTAGATTCTTAAATATAAACATATATTCACACAGAAAGTATTAAAGATTATATCTAACTGGATGTCCAGTTCTATAGCTGTCTTCTCCATATTGGTAAACTTCTTTCTTTAGTCTTCTTTCACAGGTCTGATAGGAAGAAAGAAAAGTTGCTCAGAAGCAACTTCTGAAAACTAGTACTTCTGTACTAGTTTTCTTGTCGTCCATCCTGCTATCTAGCCACAACTGTGTTATACTTTACACTGCTTTTATTCATCACTTACTCATCTTGTTGTGAATGAGACTTATCTAGCTTCTGTGTGCAACAAAGTCAGATTCTACACTTTTTCATGTTGGAGATTTGCTGGTGTGTGTGGCACAGTTTATGTGGTTTGTTTTGTTGTTTGAGGTGAATTCTTATGTTGTCAGAATGAACTTTTAACTTGTGGTCATCCAGCCTAAGCCTCCCCATTTACTGGAATTGCAAGTACCTGGCTTTCCTTTCTGTTTTACAAACTGATTTGTAACTTTCATTTAAGTTACTCTAATTGCCTTAGGACTGATCATTTGTTGTAAAATCACTACTGCAGTTATAACGACTTTAAGGTTGCCTAAGTTGAATATTGATTTCTTTTTTGTTTGATTAGTTTCTAAGATAGTCTCAGTCTAGGCCAGGCTGTCCTAGAACTCACCATGTATCCATCTTGTCCTTGTCCTTACAGCAGTCTTCCTGCTCAGCCTCCTATATATGCTATTGTAGTTACATAGGTTTGTGTATATCAAGACGTTTTCCTACTTTGAGTAATCTGTTAGTGTTCCTCATTCTCACGTATATCTGGAAGCAGTCTCCACAAGTTTAAAGCTCTTGCCTTAGCTTTTTTCCTTTGTAGTGCTGAGTCCTACATTTTCCATTAAATTTCACTTTCTTTTCAGTTTGATGACCCCATTCCATTATTATTGTCCTAGGGAACATTCAAGTTCTTGAGCACTGGGACTTTTTCATCTTTGTGTCTGGTCTTTATCTTAGTTTGGTTATGGTGAAAATTTTTTCCTTCATCATAATTATGCATTAGTGTCTAGTCACTGAATATGTATTCTTAAAATAATAATCTTGCCATATATTAAATGAGCCCCCTCCTTTTGACCCTTCTGCCTTTCTTGCTGTCTGGATTCAGTACAGCCTGAAGGGAGGCATTCTCTCTTTACACTGGGGCCCTCCTGGACAGACACTTTTGGTCATACTTTCTCTTCACTGAATAAATTGGTTGTTGCCAGCTTATTGTGGCTAGCTCTAAGAACTAGTTGAAATCTCCCCTCCAACTCTGTGACTTTGTGTCTTGGTTGCTGTGCTTGTGCATCTTGAAAAAAATAAAAAAAAAATGCTTCTGGCATTTCGCTATTACTTTTGAGAAAAGAGACAAAATATACTCAGCCAGTTCAGTATATTAAACCAGATGTTCTGGTATTATTGGAGGAAAACAAGTCAGACTAATATTTTTCTTATCTTACTTGATCTTGATAGTTTCTTGTAAGTTTTTAGGTAAAATGACCTTACTTTCTTAAATATTTTAAAGGGAGGTATGGTTCATGGTAGCTTGGCTAATTGAGAACCATCTTATGTTGTTCTGTGGTAGTATTCCAGAGCTGAGTGGCTTGCTTTCTCAGCTCTTGTTTGTTGCTGTATTCCTTCTCATATGCTCCATCCCTTCGTCATCCCCCAGCCTGACTCTCCCTTCTCTCATTCTTCTCTGTTTTGGCAACAGTGGAGGTTGGGTTCACAGACTCACAGCTGCTTGACAAGCACTCTACCACTGAGTTACAGCCTCAGTCCTCCTTCTCCTTTCTTTATTTTAAGACGTGGTCTCTGTAAGTGCCCAGGCTGGCCTTGAACTGCAAAGCCCAGGCAGACCTCGAACCTGTGATCCTCCTGCCTCAAACTCCTAGGTATCCAGGTTTATCTACACCATGAGGGCCAGCATCTTTTTTGTTCCTTTTTTTTTTTCTTTTGTTGTTTTCTTCCTTCTCCTTTTACTTGAGCCTTCCTTGTGCACTTCCTTGCTCTCATGTTCCTTTGCTTCTCAACTTTTGTTTTCATTCCTTCCCTGTTGCCCCTGTATTCAGCTACTACAGTATTAGGAAAACTATTCTTTAGTCTTTGTTTCTATCTTGGCTTGCTATGCTTTCAGTGGCTACTTCTTGGCTGTTCTGGCTTCCTGTGGTCAGAATGAATCAAGTCATTTGGCTTCCCTTTGCACTCTTCTGTACAGGTTTGGAAACCTGGAGCTCTTGTAGATTTTTCTCCTTCCTGAGATGAGAGCTGACAGTTGGACAAGCTGCCCTCAAGCCTCCTCAACAATTGAGGTTACAAGAGTGTGACCACACTCAATATCCTATAAAAATTGCTTTGTCTTCACCCATGTATATTATGGAATTTGTGGGAGATACTTTGTCACCTCAGTGTCTGTCTTTTTTTTTTTTTTTTAAGCATCTATAGGTTTCTGGCTTTACCCTCACCCTGAGATTTTTCTATTTTTCTGTTTACATTCAGAGAAAATAAACTTTATTCCCATCTTCCTACACTTTCCCCCTTCTCTTCTTTGTGGCTTTCAATCCTGTATGTTTTTATGTTTTTCTTTGGTTTATTTTAACTATAAATTGTTCCTTGAAAAAAAAATCCAATTTTTACTTTTTCACATATTTTCTTACTGAATAACATTCATTTATCGGGTATATGATCAGTACTATTTAAGTAGATAATCATAAAGCAAGAGTAGCAGTGCCAGAATTAACCCAGCATTAAGTGCTCCCAGATAACGTCTGCAATTGGGTGCCAGGAATATAGTAATGAAATCTTTATATATGCTGAAAATCTTTTATTTTTCTATTTGCAAATTTGGTTAGCTTGTAGAAGTAAAAATAACAGACAAGATGGAATAATTTTTGTATTCTTTGTGTAGATTCAACAAATGTCTATTCAAGGCAATCTGAAGTCAGATTTACCAGACACAGTCCTCAGAATTATGCCCTTGATGCCACTAGGGGAAAAAACTGAGTAAACGGGTAGTTAGAATGCCATATCGTAAGTGCCACCAAGGGTGTGTACAAGACAGCTAACCTTTTATTGGAAGGGATGAAGAAAGGGTGCATTGTACGCAATTTGAAGACTGAGGCCAGCTCCCTGGGATCCCATTTAAGTTTGTAAGACACAAAACCATACAGTGCTACAAAATACTATTTTTAGCTTAGGCAGTGTCCTCCAATATCTCCAAGATAATATACTTTAGTTGTCGTTTGGCCCACCAGAGAACAATTATAGTTTGTTTTTCATGATAAAATTCCAGACTAGCTGATGCAGAACCAAGTGACTCCACTGGAAACTCAGATTGAGAAACTGAGAAAGAACTGAGGAGAAAATGCAACATCAGCATAAAAGTTCTTCTTTAGGAAATTAGTTTGCTTCACCTCAAAAACACCTGTCTGGATTTCATTTGTGTATATATGTGTATTGAGAAATTAACTGTAAATTTCTATAAGATGGAACTAGGCTAAAGGTAATATTTTTCTTTCTAGATCCTATACAGTGGTCCACAGACCAAGTCCTGCATTGGGTGGTTTGGGTAATGAAGGAGTTCAGCATGACTGATATAGACCTCACCACACTCAACATTTCGGGAAGAGAATTATGTAGTCTCAACCAAGAAGATTTTTTTCAGCGGGTCCCTCGGGGAGAAATTCTCTGGAGTCATCTGGAGCTTCTTCGAAAATGTATAAAATTAGAGTTATTATCTATTTGCATTCTAACTAAGCTTAATTTTATTTTTTGTAACTTTGTTTTTATTTTATTAATTGTTAATAAGCAAACACTTGAGCTATAATAATTAGTATTCATTGTTATAGGTAGTATGAAAAGTTCTTTATGTATTATCTCAGTACCTATTGTTATGCCGTAAAGCATTACTTTCCTGATTTTTTAGTTTTATGTGAAGAGACTGGGGCTGTAAGATCCCTACAGAGTATTAGACCCAGGGAATATGCAAACTAAGAATCTAAGCTAGGCTTATACCAAATTCCAAAAAATCTCTTTTTTTTTTTTTTCTTTTTATGATAAGTCATTCTATATGGTTAACATCAACTCATGATCCTTTTGCTGCAGTTTCCCAAGTGGCTGGGATTACAGATGTGAGCCTGGCTAGAATCCAATTCCTTAAAATCTCATATGATGCTCTTTCGTTAGCCCTTTTCATGTGTTCTAATCATTGCCTTGTCTTTTCCTAGTCATTGCCTGCATTTCTAGAAACTTTAATATCAATTGATCACAGGAGATTTCCCTCCTAGTTTCTTTTTTGTGGGCTTAGGCATTTTTAAATGCCTTTACTGGTTATATAAATAAGATTTTAAGAGAGCCTCTGAGATTATGATTAAGGGACTATGAAGAAAACTTAGAAACCACCTGGCTGACCAAAGAGTTCAAATAAAGTTTTGGTTTAGTCCACCCCATAATTTAGTAACTCCTAAGGTGTAATTAATTAATTATTAAGTAATAATTAGTTCTTTGTAAGGTCTCTTTTAAGCCATTTTACCAGCAACCCATCCCCTCAAAGTGTTTAGTATGTTGTGATGCTAGCCAGACATCCATAGTTTTCCATTTATAAGTAAGGCAGAGTCTGTTCTTTTTGTTAGAGTTATGGATGGAAATGTCATGGCTCCTACTCTGTTCTACTGGACACCTGATATGGAAAGAGGATCATACACAGTAATTTGATGCTTAGCATTTTCACCCAGGATTCATCTCTGCTATTGAGTAAGAGATGAGCTCTGGAAAGAAACTCTGCTTGTTTTCTCTTGAATGGACTGTAGTTGTGTTTTGCATTGTTGCTAAGAGATTGACTATACTCATTGTCTGTGTAGGGTTCTTACCAGCTTCAGTTTTTATACATGAGTAAAGTGAACATCTTGGTTGTCATTCAGTGTCAGAGTCTCAACTGAATCATGTTCATTGAAACGTTTTGTTGTTGGAATTCTTGGAACTACAACAATAGTACTTAGAATAGTCTCCACCAAAATCATGGTTTTCCCAGTCTCTCCCAGATCAACTCTTTCTTGTGCTGTCACTTTCGGATTCACCTGATGTTTTCTCAAACTGTAAACACTATTACTCATTTGCTTTTCCTTGTCAGCAGACAAGACACTTGTTTATTCTTCCTTCTCTGTACAGGAGTTTTCATCAAAGACCTTCTGCTGTAGGGTTATACAGCCTCCATAAATATATCTTAGAATTGCTTGCCTCTCCACCATGGATCTTTGTCCTGCTCTAATGAGAAAATGGCATTTGGTTTTAGAATCTAAGGCTCAATTCAGCATTTATAGAACAGGTTTGATGATCCATAGGCTGACAGACTTTCTATTGTTAGTAAGTCTTTTCAGAACAGGGTTCATAAGCAGAAAGAAGAAAGGCCTGTAGCATAACTCTAAATGGACTGTTTCTAGGACAGAACTGTTACTAATCAGCATGCTGCCTACTCAGCCTTAGTGATCTCTTGTGAGGCTGTCTGGAGAGAGAGGACTCCTTTTCTACCTTGATTACTACTTGGCCCATTTCCATGTAGCTCCTAAGTTACAACTTCTTTCAGAGTCTTTTATGTTTGGAGAAGATAAATAAATATTCCAGGCATACAAATTCTTCAGCATGCTTTTGATGTGAACGTCTGTCAGCAAAGACCAAAGTCTTCAGGGAAAGAGCCGCTTCAAAGTCATACCCTTAGGTCCTGATGTGTCCTTATAACTGCCCCATGATCCCAAGGACTTTGCTTTTAAGCATTCTGTTTTATTGATGCGTGGCCAAAATTTGGGGGTCTTTAGAAGTATGATACTCAGGTTTCCTCTATTTTCTTGGATTACCTATCAATTTTCTGTGTTCTGCTTTCTGTGTTAAGAGTCCCTGAGAACCACACCAAGCTCAAGCCTCTGAGAGTCAGGGTTCTGGAGCTGAGTGTACAGGTTGCCAGCGTCTGTGCTACCTAGTAAATGTTTCTAACTTGTCTTCCATAAGGCTGAGCTCCTTAAATTCATTTAGTGACAGATAGAATAATGTTAGTGTTAAGAGCACTTTTTGTCATTGAGACTTTTAAAAGTATGGAGGAAAAATCTACCACAAAGCTTTAGCTGGGTGGTAGCAGCAAATGCCTTTAATTCCAGCATTCGGGAGCAGGGGTAGGCAGATCTCTGTGAGTTTGAGGCCAACCTAGTCTACAGCGTGAGTTCCAGGCAGCAAGGGCTACACAGAGAAGCCCTGTCTGGAAAAAAACAAAAAATAAGCAAAGCTTTAAAAGAGAACAGTTCTGAGGTAGAATGTTTAGAACTAGAGGTCTGATTTAAGCATATTAATCTTCAGTTTACTGAAACATTAACTTTGCATTGTGCTTCTTTAAAACAGTTTTCTTTAACATTCACAACAGCCTTGTGAGGTATATGAGATCTCATTTAGAGGTGAATTAATAACCTTGGTTTGGAATTTTACCTAAGATTGCTAAGATCTAAACCCGTATCTCTCTGAGGCTAGTCCCAAATAATTATTTAAGCCTTCAAACCTATGTGCCCCAAAGAAAATTCCATCTGGCAGATAGGTTTCAGACCTCATCTTAGTTTCCCAGCTCTTCTCAGCTTTTGTATCTCAAAATGGACCCATGCAAAGCACCTTTACTGTCTTCTTGGGATCCCAGTCTCATGACTCATTCATTCAGTCCAAGGATGATAACTGACAGGTTCAGTTTCAATTGATAGGCGCAGTTATGATAGACATAGTTGTCTGAAGTGCTAGGACCTGGGATGTGTAATTGTGGGGCAGAGTAGGGATAGCATTTGGTCTGGGGAAAATGACAGATTGAATGAACGATTATTTTAGAGGATTTTGTTTAGGCTTGTGTAAGTCAGGGTTCTCTAAGGAACAGAACTGGTAGCAAAAGTCTTTTGTTGAGCAGTATTTTAAACATGAGTAATCTGTAGCACTTAAGACTACAGTTTTACTAAAAACCTAACTTTAGGAATTTTATTCTAAGTTTCAGTTGTTGGATGTGTATCTTGTTTGTCTTACTGATTTTGGTTTTCATCATGAAGCTTTTTTTAAAGGCTGTGTTTGCTAAATTTATTTTTACTCTATTGAGAATTATATTTTTGGTTTTAAATGAAAATTAATTTTTTTTTGTGTTCTTCAGATGTTTTGGCAAGCCAAGAGCAGCAGATGAATGAGATAGTTACAATTGACCAGCGTGAGTATTCATTCCCATAAAATTTCCCATTTATCAGGAAGAAATGCTATGTTATTAGATAATGTCAAGTTAAAGCTTTCACCATAAATTTCTGACTCCAGAGGACTGAGGCTTCTTAACTAACCCATGTAGACCAGTAATAGAGGCCCTTGTGTTGGATTTGCTTACTTGAAAGCCTGTTTTTCCCTCTCTAAATTGAGAACTGATTATCCTCAACTATTCTCACATAGTTTTTTTTTCTTTCTACCAGCTTTGCCACCCTAAATACTCTATAGACATACTATGCATGCTTGAGGCTTGTTATTTGGATCTTTCAGTTATTGTTTAACACTTTTGAGACTTAAAGTTGTTGATACTTGCAACTCTGTTTCATTCATTTTGACTGCTGGATAGCATGTCTAAAAATGCCACAGACAACAATTAGTAAGTTTAAGACAGTATCAACTGTTTCTATTTCTACTCTTAAAATTCCAGTGAGCACTGTGTTTGTCACTTAAGGTCTTATAGACAAGTATGAGTTCCCAGTAGTCTATACTTTGACCATAATGGAAATCATTTCTATAAAAGAGTGTATGGTAACTTTGATAATGGATATTTGCCATTTTAATTTGCTACTTTGGAACGTGGAAAACTATGCCTAAGCTGAGATTCACAAACTGCAAGGGAAACAACTTTTTCCTTTGCCTAGGTCTGAGGTCTTTTCTTGACATAATTAGAGGAGCATTAATTTTTCTAATTAAATTTTTTATATTAGTTACAGTTTATTTACTCCATATCCCAGCTGTAGCCCCTTCCTTCATTCCTTCCCAATACCACCTTCCCTCCCTCATCTTCTCCCAGGCCCCTCTCTAAGTCCACTGATAGGGGAGGACCTCCTCCCCTTCCATCTGACCCTAGCTTATCAGGTATCAGGTCTCTTCATGACTGGCTGCAGTGTCCTCCTCTGTGGCCTAGCAAGGATGCTTCTCCATCAGGGGGAGAGGGGAGGTCAAAGAGCTAGCCATTGAGTTCATGTCAGAGACAGTCCCTGTTCCCTGTACTAGGGAACCTACTTGGATACTGAGCTTCCATGGGCTACATCCGAGCAGGGATTCTATATTATATCCATGCATTGTCCTTGGTTGGAAAAACAGTTTCAGAAAAGACCCCTGTGCCCAGGTATATTTGATCCTTGTGGAGCAAGAAACATTAATTTTATTGATTGCATTTATCTTTACTTTCTATATTAGAAGGAAAGTATGTTTTCTTTTTTTGTCTTTTTATTATTATAGCTGTGCAGATTATTCCAGCATCAGTGCAGTCTGCTACACCAACTACAATTAAAGTTATAAACAGTAGTGCAAAGGCAGCTAAAGTACAAAGATCTCCAAGGATTTCAGGAGAAGATAGAAGCTCACCCGGGAACAGAACAGGTATTTTTGCATAAACTCATATTATAAAACTTGTCAAATTATATATATGAAAGTATGAATATAAACTGTCTCTCTGGCAGTGTTTAGTTAATATTTACAAAATGAGAAGTTTGTTTTTGCCTTGGGTCAGATTGAACCAGAGGGCTTTTGTACTGTTTTTGACTTGTGTTAGCTTCTAACATGACCAATGCTTGTTCTGCTTATGGATTTAGGAAACAATGGTCAGATCCAACTGTGGCAGTTTTTGCTAGAACTTCTAACTGACAAGGATGCTCGAGACTGTATTTCTTGGGTTGGTGATGAAGGTGAATTTAAGCTAAATCAGCCTGAGCTGGTTGCACAAAAATGGGGACAACGTAAAAACAAGCCTACGATGAACTATGAGAAACTCAGCCGTGCATTACGGTAAGCATTTGTTTTTGTTTTTCTATTATCAGACTTCTCTAAAAATGTAGCTTTCTGTTCTTTATATAAACCTCATAGGTAATGAAAATAAAATACTTCTTAAGATTGTGTGGGTGTGCGCAGGTGTGTATGTGTGTGTGTGTTTGGTGATGAAATGGCTCAGTCACCCCAAAGCCTGCCCAGCTGAGTCCCATCTATGGATCCACATGGTAGGAGAAGAGAGCCAGGTTCAGGGTCACATACACATGTACACACCCAGAATAAACAGGGAATATGATTTAAATTTTTTTAAACTAGTAAGTTTTGTGCATTATGTTTAAAATAACTTAAAAGTTTTCTTGAAAATCAAGGTACATAAAGCTTTTTTTAAAATTCCTGAAAGATTGTTTTATGTGATTTGAAATTCCTTAAACAAAACCAGCCTGCTTAGTAATCATAAATATTTGTATAATTTGCATTATAAAGATGCTTTACATATTAAATTGATACATATTGTATCAAATATATGAATGCTGTCTTCTATTTTTACAGTTATATTTACAGTTTTATCCTTTTTCCTAATCCAAATACCCAAAAAGAGAACTTGGAATGATTTCCCTAACTACTATGCATAATGTTAAGTGGAAAGACCTCTGCTACCAAATGTTAGTGAGGTTGGTAATATTTCCACACTGTGGCCAGAGATGCAGAATCGTGTCAGGGAAGACTGGAACCTATGGCCTGCTAAGTTACTAAATAACTTCTTTCAGTAGATCACAAACAGAAATGTCCAAATATCTACATACACACTTATAACATCCTAAATCAGAAATCTCCCATATGCATTAGCAGACGAATGAGTAAACCAATTTTATGTTCAAGTATTAAAGATGAACTACTGCCACAAGTGATGATACAGTGATGTTCAGAAAAGGGTCAGGTTCAAAGGACAATATAGTAACTATATAGATACTATATGAGTGTATTGACTGTATAGTTTGATAAAATAGGAAAGGTAAACTACAACATTTATGGATTGCATTTAAGGAAAAAAAAAATAGAAAAGCAGTGAAGTTACTATCTCGAAGCAAGCTTGTGTTTTACCTTTTAGAGTAGGGATGGTTGGAAAGGAACAGAGAGGACTCTAGGTATTGATAGTCTGTTATTAGACCTAAGTGATACTTAATGGTAAATTGGCATTTTGAATGACTGGACTGTTAGCTTTTGTGTCTCTTCTGTTTATATGATATAGTTCAAAATTTAAGAGGTTTTAAAAACTAATTTCACAAAAGTATAGGAGGATAGCCATGAAATTGAATGTAAGGAGAAAACAAATGCAGTGCCTGCTACTGTATGGTACCTAGTGATGCATTCACTAGATTGAAGAAAGGAAGTATTAGACAAAATTAAGGCTGTGTGTGTGTGTTTTCTTTTACCAAAAAAAATGATGATTATACCAATACCTAATTACATTCTAGAAAGATGGCACCACTCTTTTTTTTTTTCTTTTCATTTCCCAAATCTCTAGTTATCATAAACTTGTATTTTTAAGCTGCATGACAAGCAGTTTGGTGGTTTGTAAAGCTGAGATTCAAATTCTCTGCTGATGTGTAATCTGATGTACAAAGTAGCTTTAAACTCAGGGGCTTTTTCCATAGAAAGTGTAGTAAACTAGCCTACTAGACTGGACCCCAGGTCTGCTCTGCAGTTGTAGACTGGGCAGCTGTGGGTTCTTTATGATGCACTTTATCGCTTTTCCAGTAGCCTGTTTCTTCTGACCCTTATATTAATTCTATTGGAGACTGCTAATGGTTTAGAGAATTTCTCCAAAATTTGGGGAGCCTTTATAAATTAAATGGAAAAGATGAAGGTATATCTATATTATATTAAAATATATCGTTAGATTTTATATAAAGCAAAAGAAGTGGACTTTACAACAATTTGTAGCTTTTTTCTGGATTTTTAACATAGCTTGTATATTATTGAGAGTTAACTATGGCAGTCATTGAATTCTAAGCACTTTTTAAAGAACTTCCCAGAAAATCATACTCCAACCAAGGACTATTCATGGAGATGACCTGGAACCCCTGCACAGGTGTAGCCCATGGCAGTTCAGTGTCCAAGTGGGTTACATAGTAATAGGAAGAGGGACTGCCTCTGACATAATCTGTTTGGCCTGCTCGTTGATCACTTCCCCCTCGGGGGGGAGCAGCCTTACCAGGCCACAGTAGAGGACAATGCAGCCACTTTTGATGAGAATTGATACGATAGACTAAGATCAGAAAGAAGAGGAGAACCTCCCCTATCAGTGGACTTGGGGAGTGGCATGCATGCAGAAAGGGGAGGGAGTGTGGGATCGGGAGGGGAGGAGGGAGGGCTTATGGGGGGATACAAAATGAATAAAGTGTAATTAATAAAAAATTAAAAAAAAAGATTATCCCTTTATTCAACAATTCTGTGAGGGTAAATACTGTTTTTAACCTCATTTTATAGATGAGGAATAAAGGATTACAGGAAATAGGATATTCCTGTGGCCACAAAGGCAAGAAGTCCAGGTGTGAGGCTTTGCAGCGTGGTCTCTGGTTTCTTGGTTAGGTTTTGTAGCCATTTCTAAGGCTCTTTTGTTCTGTCTTCTCTTTAGTAATTATGTTGATTTCTAAGTCAGTGTTATTGCAGTTGTTAAAAAATTATTTTGAAAGTTTCATGTATAAGATTTTGGAGTAATTAGGATTAAAATTTTTGTAAGTAGTGTTCTGGAGTTTGATTTGTAATGTTAAGTACTCTGTATGATGCATTTGATGGTAATTCTGCTAGGTTTCTGTTTGTAGAAAAGTCTGAGACATAGGGAGTACAAACTCTATTCTTTACAAGGTCCTAATATGTTTTTTCTTTTTAAAGGTATTATTATGATGGGGACATGATTTGTAAAGTTCAAGGCAAGAGATTTGTGTACAAATTTGTTTGTGACTTGAAGACTCTTATTGGATACAGTGCAGCAGAACTGAACCGCTTGGTCACAGAATGTGAACAGAAGAAACTTGCAAAGATGCAGCTCCATGGAATTGCCCAGCCTGTCACAGCTGTAGCCCTGGCAGCTGCCTCTCTACAAACAGAAAAGGACAATTGAGACATAGGACCTCCTAGGAGTCTAAGGTTTTTCTTAAATATTCAGAGCAAGCTTTGCTCTGACCTTTATTACTGAATTTGAATCTTATTTCTAGATTGTACAATCTGATGCATGATTTTTTATAAATATTTCATACTCTTGTGAATTTGGATCTTTTTACTTTGAGCATATATTTTAGAAAATGTATGTTAAAGGATTACTATGATGCCTGCAGAGTGAGAGCAGGTTCATCGTGGAGTAGTTTGCTAACAGTCAGGAAAGCTAAACTGGTCAGTATTAATGTCTAGCCCTACCAAAAATAGCCAGTAGCATCTGAAGATGAAAGTAAGGAAGCATTTCCAGGAAACAGCCTGGTGTAGCCACTTCGGGAGTGTAGGTGTTTCCTCTCTGCTGCTTTACGTAGAGCCCAAAAAAGGAAAATTTCAGCTAAAGCATGTGTGCCTGTTTCATCTAATCAAGCAGAGCTAAACGTTCATATCAAATAAAATGATAATTACTAAACTATCAGGTTATTAATTTATATATTTGCAAGTAAAAAATAAGTTAACTGGCAGAAGAGAGTGTTGAATGAGACCCAGGTTTAAAGCTGGCTTAACTCAAACCATTATTAATTGGTTTTCTGTATAGATTATTCATTATGTCAGGCCAAGGACTTAAATTATTTAGAGAGGGCTATTTAATTCAAATAAACCAGCTATTGCAAAAATTCCAAAATGATATCATTCTTTCTCTCAGATTTTAAAAAGTATACCTCAGTTAGAAAATAAAAATTTTGTTTCATTTGACTCCTTTTTTAAATTAATCTATAGTATCAGATTATTATGCAACACCATTTATATATTCAGTTCTGTGTTTCTGATAAAATGAAGACTTTAGATCAGACAAAAATGTTAAACCTTTGAAGATTTAACCTTTGAAGGAAATTACTTGTGAATAGTTATAAAAAGATATTTGACTTGGCACTGTAGGAGATCTTCTTGAAATAAACTTTCCCACTTGTTTCATTTTTTTTTCTTTTTGAATATTGCATATGTGACTAAAACTATTATATACATGGCCAGCTAACCACTTTCTACATATATGAAAACATAAATATATTCAAAAGGGAGATTATTATTTCTAAAATCTTTAAATAAAACTTATATGAAATGCCTTACTGCTTGCTAACACTAAGAAATGGCTAGAAAATTCTTTTTCTTTTTGTTTACTTTAAAGTATTATACATAAATCATGATATAAGAAACCTAGCATATAGTTTTCATAATAGAAAAGGAATACCTTTCATAGTATAAAGGGATTCCTCAGAACAGTATAAAGGGTACTTTACACACCTCTCTCATTTGTTTTTCTTTCAATTCATGCCCAAAAATGACTGTAGAAGAGCTGACTTGAGGGCAAGCACATGTGACTGCCGCCTGCTGTGCTGCCAGGATTGAGCAGTGGCTTGGCGGATAGGGACAAAAAAGAAGTTGCTTACCTCCTACATCATGACTTCCAGTACTGTGCTATCAGACTTCAACAAGTCCTGTTAGTTTGTTTATATTAAGTCCTTTAAGATTATACAGTAAATACTTTAAAACAACTAAATTGTTTTTGTTGTTGTTGTTGCCAGTAGGCTGGCAAATTATTAGTACGGTTTGATCAGCATGATGTGAATATTGTCGGAGTATAACAACAGTCTCTAGGCCCTGACTTCAGATAACAAAAAAGTAGCTGTAAAAACGCCTTTCCCCATCTTGAAGCCTGGGGACCCGTAAGCCACTGCTTCAAAACAGGACATTTCTCTATTACATCCAGAGATTGAGAGTCCTAGAGTTAGACTGTTTGGAAATACTATGTTAAAGTTCTAGACAAGAGGATAGATTTTATGTCTCATTTGTAGAAATGTATGTTTTAAAGGAAAGGAACATCCATATTTCTTCTAGGTCCCTAAAATTAAACATTCCAAAATGCTTACAAGCATTCTGTAGATTTTCTTTCTTTGGTAGCTTTTCTGTTAGTCGTATTTTGAACAGAGTTCTCAGAGATGAGATGCTCATTTCTTTTCACTTCTTGCATCTTTCTATGCACCTTCACCCAGGAAATGAGAGGGATTTCTCCTTGACTCAAGTTTTTATTACTCTGTCTCCAGTTAGATATAAAATATTGTTGTTTTCCTTGAGGCTACATTTTGCTATCTTTTTAAAAACAACCCACGTTGTGAAAAAAAAAAATAATTTGTAGTATTATTTGCTCAGTTTCGTCATGCATTTTCATAGAATTTAAGATACAGTCAAACAAAAAATATAAAAGTGTTTGTTGTACCTTGCAAGTTCAAGAATAATGAAATGTTCATTTTTGTTTTAAAACAATTTTTCATGTGGTGTTTACATTGAGCTCATTTATACATGTGCTAGCCTGAAGTCTGAACGTTTGTGTTGGCATGGAAAAGTCCACCTTGTCAGGCAGAATTGCTGTGTGGTTGATCTCCACGCAGTGAATTCACTGATTACATTCATTTTGGTGTCAGTCCGTGTAAGTAAATTAGGAAAAATTATTTAACTTTTCACCTCTGATAAATGGTGATGCTCAAGTATGATTGAAAGAGCCAAATATTTGTGGCAAGTTCTGTTATTTTCTGCATTTGCCATTTATGCTACTGCCTTTTATGAAGAACTAGTGTATCCTTGGAATAGCACAAAAATGTTTTAAAATTTATAATTGTAAAACAAACCTGGGACTGACTGATCTTCAGATCTAAAGGCTATAAAAATGTTGATATTTCAATATTTCACTTATTCCCAAGAAAAAATATTCTCAGTCTTTTGTAGAAGGGAGGAGAATTTTTGCATACATTTTTACTCTTTAAATAAAGACACTTATACTATCATAATAACAATTATGTATTTCTTTGTTTTTTTGTAATTTTACATAAAACAGTTATTTTCTATTTTTACTCAGATAAAAATATTTGTGCATAAAATGTAAAAATAGTAAATGAGAAAAATAAAATTATTATACAATAAATTCTATGTTGAAAATTTTTTGGGTTTTGTTTTCTTCAGAAAAAAAAAAATTTCAGATTCCTGAAGGTTTTAATTGGTTTAAAATCTTAACAGTCCGCTTCTGATAAATGTACATACGATTCCTCTGTATTTCTTTTTACTGAAAGCCTATCAAAGTATTGATCCCCCAGAACACACACACCCCAAACTGTCAGTGTGGGGAGAACAGATTCTGCTGAAGTGTAATTAGTTGGTAGAAAGTAGTTGGTAAGAAAAGTAGCATTTTCTCATCCACAGAAATAAGGTTTTAGGATAGGGACAGGAAAACCACTAAGGTTGAACACTTGTCAGAAAGGCAAGCTGAAAGCTGGAGAGATAGCTCAGTGGCTACTTACCGTTCTTACAGAGGACCCAAGTTTGGTAACTCTAAGGGATTGATACAGCCTTTTCCTGGCCACCACCAGGATCTGTATGCACATGCAAATACCCACAAACAGAAACACACATAATTGAATAATAAAAATAAAATTTTAAAAAATGCTCCTTAAAAATAACAATTGTTAAACTATATAAAGCCCCCCACACACACCCTTTGATTTAGTCAGGGTCTCACTATGTAGCAGTCTCAGTCCAAGCTTGTGATCCTCCTCCCTCTGTCTCCTGAGTCCTAGAGTGACAGCATGTTTCAGACAAGACATAGAGGAATCAGGAGTCTCATGTATGCACAGATTTTCCCTCCCACGCCTCAGTTCCCAAAATAATGACATTGAGACTTTATTATTTATGAATAAACGACTAGGCCATCAGCTTTGATTCATTCCTTGACTAGATCATAAATTACCCAGGAATTCTATGTGTTGCCACATGGCTTGTTACCTCTCTTCAGTTTCATATATCCATCTTCCTCAGAGTCCAGGGTGAATCTCTCACCTCTGACTCTCCCGACGTTCATCTCTCTCTGCCAGAACTCCTACCTTCTGTTTCCACAAGAGATTCCACATTTCCCCCTTTTAGTCTAATAAAAGGCTCTTTCTCTTATAATAAACTATAAACAAAATTGTGAAAACTCATATAAGAATTACATTCACAATGTATTTGACAACTTAAGAGAAAATACTATCTATCCTATCTTGGTGAGTTCAAAATTCTATCATAGCTTATATTTATCAACCTAAAAAAGTATCTACTTAGCCCTAAAAATATCTTTTTAAAACATTTTCTTAAATCTTAAACAACTTAAGCTTAACTATTTAGTCTTCAACCCCATCAGAGACTTGAGAAGGAATATTACCTCAGTTTGCTACCAAAACTATAGAAATGACAGAGACAACTAGCTGACTGGATAATCACCCAAGTTTCCTCTATAACACTGGGGCATCATCTTTGGCCTTCTGGCCCAAAGACTTTATGAAGCAGGAATTACGAAGGACTTGCCTACCTTGTGACAAAGCTCAGCAATCAACTTCTGTGTCCTGCTTATCCACAGCTTGGACTGCATGCAGTTTTTGAATTAGCAGTTTTTGCCCAGTGGCTACGTTGCCACTTTTGAAGCAAACTCCATGTAGAAGTTCTATGATGCCCACAATTTTTAAAGCAGAATAGGGGTTCTGTCAGGAAATGACATGTCTCACTGTCAAAAAAAAGCCTTTTATTAATAAAGCATTTTAAGTGCCATATTCTGTGTGTTTCTGAGGTTCTTGACCATTATATCTGAATAGGCAAACACTGCTCATTTCTAGCTGTTTACTATCTGTTCAACCTAGGAAACATTTCTGTATTTATCTAGACTAGAATAGGCAAACACTGCTCATTTCTAGCTGTTTACTATCTGTTCAACCTAGGAGACATTTCTGTATTTATCTAGACTAGTATTTAACATGACCATGAGTTTGATTGACTGACTACTAATTTGAATTACTTAATTATCCTGAACAGTTTGTAATAGTAGCTTTCGAGTACTAGAACTTCACATTGCATCTTTAAATGAGTTGCTTAAGTACAATATTTTATACAAGAGTTGAAACAATACATTATGTGTATCCAAAATAACTTTAAATTTGGGTTTTGTGTTTGGTTTGGTTTGGTTTTGGTTTTGGTTTTGGTTTTGGTTTTTTTGAGACAGGTTTCTCTGTGTAGCTTTGGCTGTCCTGGACTCGCTCTGTAGACCAGGCTGCCCTGGAACTCTCAGAGATCCGCCTGCCTCTGCCTCCCTGAGTGCTAGGGTTATAGGTCATGTGCCACCACACCTGCCTAACTTTAAATTTTTACCAGTAAAATAAGGTCTATACAAGTGTAACCAAAAATAATTTTTTTCCGCATGCAAAGATCTATACCAATGTAAAATTCTTGGCGAGTAGTAGCTACAGTGTTTATGAGTAGATTCAATAACCTATCCTTCTGTACTGTTATTCCTGTATCTCCCGTTTTTCTGTTTCATCCCTTTTCCTCCCCTTTCCCCCTAACACTAGATAAGAAAGAAAGAAAATGAAAAAGAGAAATCCCTGAGTCTGAGCTCTTATACTTTGTTTCCTCCCTGACCAAGACCATTAAACAACTTGTTACCAACCAAACAACCTAAACCACCTACTCTATTTTTTGGGAAATGGGATGTTGCTTTCTTAAGTTGTTCTCTGAGGGGATTTTCTTTTTGGGGAGATCTTTCTAGCGTATAGAAGTATTTTCTGGATGCAGGTTTTTTTAGGAAACAGCTATTATGAGACAATCTGTGATTGGATCAAGCAGGATGCTGGAATAACTCAGCATCCTCGAAGGCCAGGATTAATTTTATTAGTATCTGGTCCTTTAGTTCTGTAAACATACAAACTTTCCCAAGTAATACATATTTTTACATAACTCGTGTATGGAATGTGCTGTGTGCACAATTTACTGGCAAACAATTCTCTGTTCTTTGAGTGGGTGAAAAGTATCTGCCTTTTTTTATAAGCCAGTCTGAATTGTATAACCAAACTGTAATACAACTTTTCATCTATGTCATATGAAAGAATAGCATAATAAGTCCTGAGGACTCTAAGCCAACAAGACTTATTGACTTAGCATAACTGAAGTCCTGGCTGAAGACATTTTCATGTCTCAGCCAGTCTCAGCTGTTTTCATGTGGAGAGGTCAGTGTATACTTTATCTGTTTTGTTTTACTTATTGATTTATTTCTTCCTCTCTGCAGCCTAGATCTTCAGGAGGTCTCCTGTGGTCTAATATTTATTAATTTGGAAGGAGTTCACAGCTTTTCTTTCCTAGGGAAACATACACAAAACCTCTCCCCCAGCGTCTTAACTTTCCTCCCTCCATTTGGAAGTTAAGCCATCCCTAATATACACAGGTTGATTTAATTCAGCAGTTCCCTCTCCCCCATAATCCAATGTCTCTCAGCAGTTGTAGTTTTTTGCTCATTAGCATTTAAAAAATTAAAGTTAATAATGACTATGTAATCTATCTCTGGGGATCTTTGTTGTCTTTTTTTGTTAAGCATCTCCTTTGAAGTATGATTAGATCTCTCTACAACTGCTTTTCCTGTAGGATTGTGTGGTATATCTTGTAACAGGATTTATATTATAGTATGATACTAGAATATTATAGAGTATAATACTAGAGTATTGTATAATTATTAGAGGCATAAGCTGGAGCATTGTAAGTCTTAATTTGTACAGGTGTTCCCATAATTACCATAACTTCTAATAGATGTGTAATTACAGAAACATCCTTTTCAGAACTGAAAGCAATTGCCCACTGAAATCCTAAATATGTGTCTATGGTATGGTATACAAAATTGAATTTTCCAAAGTCTGCAAGTGAAATTTGCCAAATTTCATTTTTGGGGTACCATTTGGGTTACTCTCTGTAGGTAATGGAGTTTGGTTATACAAAGAACAAGCAGGGCATTTCATTATAATTTCCTTAGCTTGTTGCCAAGTGATAGAAAAATGTTTCTTTAAACCTTTGCTGTTACCATGTTTTTTGTGTTTTGTTTTTGTTGTTTTTAAATCAAATTCTGAAGCTTCTAGCACATTTCCTATTAATAGCTGATCAATTTTTTCTTTCCTGTGTGCTAGAGGACCTGGTAGACTGTGTGGGATCTGTATTATATACAAAGGATGACTTTTATTTCTGATCACTTGTAGTTGAATAAAGAGTGAAGTTAATTCTGAATCATGCTGAATAAATTCAGCAGTTTCTATAGGCAAAATATATGGAAAGTCAGTAACTATATTAAGAGATTCAGGAAAATCTAATAATACCATAAGAATGGCATACATCTCTGATTTTTGAACTGAATTATAAAGGCCCTGAGCCACCCTATTTATTTTTTCTGACTTATAACCTTATAAAATGTAGGTGCTCCAGAAATGAGTGTCCCTTTTATTATATGAAGGAGAATATAAATAGTTCTTTTTATAAACTGAAGTCACTTGCTTTTGGAGCATTTGTTGTTAATTTCTTCCTCCCCCCCCCAAAAAAAAAAAATTACTGCAAGCTCTTTGCCAGTGTTAATTTTCTGCACATAATGAGGCAATTTCTGCATTAGTAAGCTATAACACAAATTCTGTTGGATCTATTCCTACTAATTGATGAAGTCTCAGTTTTCCTTTCAGAACCAATTCAGAAACCTTTTCTATATAGGTCTTTAATATTTTTACTCTGTTTGTATGGTAAAAATATCGATTCCAAGATATAATCTTTTTGCTTAAGAACTTCTGTGGAAGAAAGCGTAGAAGGCAAAATAACTAAGATACAAGCCATCTTTGGATTCAAGTGATCCACATGTGCATCTTGTAATTTCTGTTCTATCGGAACCAATTCCTTTTCAGCCTCAGATGATAGTTTTCTTGGACTATTTAAGTTTTTGTCACCTTGTAAGGTTTGAAATAAATTACTTAGCTCTTGAGAAGTTAATCCAGTTGTAAGCCTTAGCCAATCAATGCCTCCCAACAATTTTTGAAAATCATTAAGACTTCTTAATTGGTCTCTTCCTGTTTTTCTGTGTTTGATTTTTTTTTTTTTTTTGTA